CGTCATACCGCCCTGCCAAGAGAAGATTTTGCAGATAACTGCTTCTTGTATGACTGGCAACCGTAATCTACACATCCTGACCAACGAGAAAAGGTGAGGAGATTCCGCTATAGATGCTTCTTCTTGGGCTCATGGATCTGTGGTGGTACCTTGTTGTTGTCTTGGTGATTGAGTTGTGATTTACTAACATCTCTCCAAGTTCAATCCTATATACAAACTTTGAAAGTATCTTCTTAAAACAGTTCCACCGTTTAGTGGGACTCTTTGTGTTAAAAAATATTACTTATGACCAGAAAATGCAAATTATATATCGAGTGTAGATTTTAAAAGGAGATGGATTGGCACCCAGCCCTCCATCTGGTAACTTTCTATACACTTTTCTTACTCTCCGTTTCACTCAGCTCTGTTGAGTTTGGCAGTTTCACTAAAAGTACCTTTCTGTATTACAAGTTCCTTGAAGGCTGAGAATCAAGTTTTATTTCTCTTATAGCCCCTAGTTAATAAATAAAATCAGAGTCCCTTATAAACAGCTGGTGCCATATTAATTTCAAAACTTACTAAAAAGATACAAATTGTTATTGCTTGACCTTTACTCCAAACCATCTGATGTGAGGTCATGAGCTTATGGATTCATACACCCAAATGGGCCATCCATAAGAGTAGCATCTATACCTATCCTCCTACAATGGGAGTTATATATTGAATGGAAACTTTTTTTTGGCATTCATCAGAGCCAACCTCCTTTATAGGGCAATATTATACTGAATGAAAAACCTGTTAACAGCTGGAACTATTATCATAGAAAAAATACAAAAACAAATGCAACAGAATACCCTATAAATAATTTTCTATGTTGGCCTCAAGCAAAGCAATTTGGGGACTGGAACTGAGATTTCATAACCAGAAAGGTCTGAGCTCGAATCCCAACTCTACCACTTTTCATCTGAGTTACCATGGGTGAAATACCTTTCTAAGCCTAAGTTTCCTCATGTGTAAAATGGGGACAATCAAGTAATGACAGCTCATGGGGCTGGTTGTCTGAAGGATCAACTGAGTTATAAGTAAATGGGTCTGTCATAACGTCTGGCATAAAGTAAGTACTCAAAATGAGGTCAGTCATTACTGTTATTAATAATTACTGACATTCCATACCAAAGAACATACCGCAGAGCACTCTAGCTCAATGTATACACGATTACATCCATTTCATCTCAACTACGAGGTTGAGGGCAGAGATTGTACTTTTCTATTTTTAACTTAACAGAGTGTCCAGGGCACAGGAGGTATTCAATAAATCATTACTGAATAGATGAATGACTCAGGGAATGAATAAATGCCAAACAGTTAACACCAATTTGCAGTATGCTTTGAATTTCTTAGAAGAAACCTATTCTTTGTACTATATGAGTAAGTATTAACCATTTTTCAAACGGCCTAAATATGCAATAAAAATACACATTTTCTCATCAGGGGCTCTAACACAAGAGTGCCGATAATCCACGGGGGCAATGGTCAGCTTCATGCAATTCAATCGAAGTTTAAAATGAACTGCACTTCAGCAGAAAGACTGCCATCAAGGTTGAGAGGAACAACCCTGTTAGAAAGATGCCCAGGAGCGTGGGGAATGTAGCCTGAGATGTGGGAAGTCCACCGCAGACAACAGGTATTAGAGTGAGAGGTAGCTGATAGTTACCATTCTTGAAGTGTCTCACAGGTTCAAACAGCAGGTCTAAGAATATCTGGATCTCCTCAGGTTGGGTCCCGGCCAGGAACCGCAGGACAATGGCCATGCGGGTGCCTGAAGCAGATTTCCCCTGAGTTTTACTCCCAGTCTTATTTTTCATTCGCCCATACAAAATTCTGAAAAGATAAAAGCACATTATTTATTTGCACATTCAATTCTAAAATATGAGTTGTTTTGTTTGCCTAAAAGGCTAGAAGAGCAACTCAATTGATTTAAATGGATATACTATGAAACACAGAAACATGAAAACAGAAATCAGATACTTAACATAGACAATGAAAAAAGTCAACAACAAAATAAGGCTAAGAGAGCAACATGCAGTGATAGGTGCCTGCAGTCCCAGCTACCTGAGGGGTTGAGCCAGAGTATCACTTGAGCTCAGGAATTTAAAGCCAGCCTGGGCAACTTAGTAAGACCATGTCTCTATAAAAAAATTCAAAACTTAAAACAAAACGAAACAAAATAAAACAAAAAACAAGGCTAAGGGAAGCAGGAAGGACAAAGGCCAGAAGGTGGTTTGTTATGGGAGAAAAAATAGGCAAATCAAAGGTAAGTCTAATCATGAAAAAATGAAAATGAGAATATATAGATTAAAAGGGAATAAAATAAGAGAAGACAATTGTAAGTTATTAAGGAAGCTGGAAACAATTCAATGAAAAAGCTACTTTTCAGAAAAAAAACCACAAAAATAAACAAAAGGAACTTAAGAAAAAAAACCCACAGAGACCAATACTTATTGGAAAACTTGAAGCTAATACAGTTTACAGGTGGGCTTTTTAAACTTTCAAGGAAGAAAATAATTTCCATGCTATGAAGTTTCATAGCAGAGAGAAAGTGGGAAACAGTCTTTTCTCATTTATGAATGTGGCATAATTGTGATATTGAGAAGGGTTAATGAACAAAAATAAAACTACATGCCAATCTTGCTTACAAACATAAAATACAACATTTGTAACTATAGTATCCAGTGCTGCACTAAAACCAAATAAGGATTGCCCCAGGAAATGCAAGAAAGAGTCATTAGTAAAATCTACTAGATCAATACAGATGAATGGTTCCTGGAAAAAGTTAATATAATCACTTTAATACATGTTCAATAGGCACTCTAATAATATTTAACATCCACTACTGATAAAATTCCAAAGAAAAATAAAAGCTACTTTCTTAACATGATAAAAAACTTACTGACTTAATACTCAAAAATCAAAAATAGTTTTCAAACTTTTTGATATTAGAATCTCTTGACACTATTAAAAATTAATGAGGTCTCCAAAGAGCTTTGTGTATGTAAATTTTACCTATTTGATAGTTATTGTATTAGAATTTAAAACTGAGGAATTAAAAGTGTACATTGGTTTATTAATTCATTTTAAAATATTCACAATAAACTTATTACATGTTAACATCAATAACATTGTAATAAAAATAATTATATTTTCCAAATGTCCACCCTACTCCTGCAAACTAGTGAGACTAGTGGCATTGTTTTATTTATTCTTTCGTCTGACTTAACAGAAGATAACTGGATTCTCATATGTGCTTCTACATTCAATCTATTATAATACACTGGGGTTGAAAAAAATTCAGCCTCATACATAGATAGGTAATTGAAGAAGGGAGAAATATTTTTTAAACTTTCAGATAATTGTAGATATCCCATTTTGATACTACATCAAAGCTCAACAAGTTGAAAGATTAGCTGCCATGTGGAATCTGAAACCCCATCAACAAACTTGATGAACTCTGTTACACTAAAATCCATGTATCTTGCACTTCGAATGAATCTTTTACCCATACACCATTCTATTACATGCATCAGTTACTTGGAAAATATTGGTTTACTAAGTTATGCAGAAATGTCAAATGTTGACACATTTCATTGCAAACCAAGAAAAGAAATTTGTTTATTAACAGTTGTTAATATCACTAATCATCTCATCAGAAAAGTCTTTAAGCATTGGGAAGATGTCAGGTTCACAGTACCAAATAAAAGTTTTCTCCAATCCTAATTTCCACTTGAATGCTAGAATTTAGTTATTGGAAATAAACGCTGTCAGTTGTTTTCCTTGAAGTGGCAGGCTCACTGCGTCCATGTTCAAGAAAATGCCTGTGAAAAGAATCCTAGTGTATACGTCTTACAAATAAGAAAAGGAGCTAGTTCAGCTTGTACATCAAATACTCACACAGGTGCCATTCACTGAGACAGCCCATGCACAGCAAAAGTATTTTATGCATTCTTCCCACTTTATCATACATGTACTCAGGGTCAAGATTCATCAACTGTGTTTGTTTGTTTGTTTATTAAATAACTCCAAATATGTGGCAATGAAGAATGACTAGTAGAATTTGGTGCCACTGTCTTGATTCATGTGCTAGGGTACTAGGAGTCTTACCCACTATTGTTTTTGCCTTGTCAGTACATATGTCAACACAGTGAAAAAAGATAAGGTCTTAGTAGTAGCAGTATAAAAAAGCTTTGGCCAGTCACAGAGGCTCAAAGCACTTGAAGAAGGTATCACTGATAATGACACATTTGAGATGAGACCAAATGAGTAAGAGGTGTCAGTTGTCATGTCTTCCATGCAGGCGGATGAGCAAGCGCTAAGAATTTAAAGTGGGTTCTGAGAGAGGTGGTAAACAGGAAGAAATATGGTTATAGATATCATTTGAAGCTACCATATCAAGCCCTGTAGGGAGTAGTCAGGACTTTCTATTACATTCTGAGTAAAATGAGATGTCAAAAGGTTTGTAAACAGGGGACTAACATAATCTGTGACTGTTATTATCATTTGTGATTTTTTGGTTAGAGAGAATACAAGAAAACGCAACAAAAGCTACTAAAACTAATGAAAGTTTTGTCATGTGGATGGCTAAATAACACAAAAATCAATAGCTTTTATATAAAATTAGCTACGTAGCAAAAATAAACTAGAAAATGTAAGAGGGAAAATTCCCTCTACAGCAACAAAACATCGTTATAAAATGAAAAGACTTTATTGAAAGACTACAAAAAAGGAATGATTTGAATAAATGAAGACAAACACTAATGCAACTTCTCCTCAAATCAAAAGGGGAAATTAGGAAAACCAAAGCAAATGCTCATCTAGATTCTAGAAAAAAACAAAATATTTTGGAAACAAAGGACTAATGAGATGACTTCCTCTGATATATACAAGAATGCATTTAAGTCCTTTATGATTATTATTATAAACAAACCAGTGCAGAATTGGAACAAGGCAGATTAATGTAAAGCTATCAAAAGCCGATTGAAAGAGTCAATTATACATGGATATTTAGTGCATGTTAAAAGTGGCACTCTGGGCCAGGCGCGGTGGCTCACGCCTGTAATCCCAGCACTTTGGGAGGCCAAGGCGGGCGGATCACGAGGTCAGGAGATCAAGACCATCCTGGCTAACACGGTGAAACCCTGTCTCTACTAAAAATACAAAAAATTAGCCAGGCATGGTGGCGGGCGCCTGTAGTCCCAGCTACTCGAGAGGCTGAGGCAGGAGAATGGTGTGAACCCAGAGGCGGAGTTTGCAGTGAGCGGAGGTCGCGCCACTGTACTCCAGCCTGGGCGACAGAGCGAGACTCCATCTCAAAAAGAAAAAAAAAAAAGTGGCACTCTGGCTGGACATGATGGCTCATGCGTGTAATCACAGCACTTTGGGAAGCCAAGGCAGGTGGACAGCCTGAGCTCAGAAGTTTGAGACCAGCCGGGGCAACATAGTGAAACAAAATTAGCTGGGCATTGTGTCATGTGCCTGTAGTCCCAGCTACTTGGGGAGCTGAGGCAGGAGGATCGCTGGAGCCCAGGAGATCCAGGCTGCAGTGAGCTGTGTTTGCACCACTGCATTCCAGCCTGGGTGACAAAGACAGACCCTGTCTCTGAAATAAATAAATATGGCTCTCCAATCAGCAGAGAAAGGTTGGACTTTTTAAAAAAAAAATTATTTATTTATTTATTTATTTTGAGACAGAGTCTTGCTCTGTCACCCAGGCTGGAGTGCAGTGACGCAATCTCGGCTCACTGCAACCTCTGCCTCCCGGGTTCAAGTGATTCTCCTGCCTCAGCCTCCCAAATAGCTGGGATTACAGGCACGTGCCACCACACCCAGCTAATTTTGGTATTTTTAGTAAAGACGGGGTTTCACCATGTTGGTGTTATTTCATTTCATACATCAAAATAAATTCCAGATGAATAAAATAATCAAATTAAAACAAACAGAATGAGAAGAAAACAGAGAGGAATATCATTTACCTGCTTTTAGAAAATACAAGTTGTCAGACATTTTAAAAAAAAAAAATTCATGAGAAAATAAACACAAATGACCCATAATCTTTTAAAACAATTCATCTTCACTAGTAAATCTAAAATATGTGAAGTCATACAACATGATATCCTTTATCACCAACAAATTAGCAAGAATTAAAACAATCAAAAAATAATAACAAACAACAGCCTAGTGTTGGAATGGTATGAAACAGGCATTCTACTGCCGGTAGGAATATAAAGTGGTTCAAACTTGTGGTTGAAAAGAAGTAGTTCTGAACAACAATTTGGTAATAGACACCAAAAAGTTTAAAAATCTTCATCAATTTTCCTATCAAGAATCTATTCTAATCCATCAATCAAATAAGATTTATAGGTATTCAATGTAAGATTTTCTATTTTGAAAAAAACAAAATAAACAACAAAAACTACAGACAGGCAAAATGCTCGACACAAGTAAATGATGGCTTGTCTATATGATGAAGAATCACATTTTGAAACATTTCATGATCTAAGAGAATTCTTGTAAAATATTAAGTGAAAAAAGGTTATAAAACATTTTATAAAATATAAGATGATTTCTGCTATTTTTGTTTCTGTAATCCACCAATAATTGTAATTTTGTATATTCACTGACTCAAATATTTTTATGTCTATTATAGTAAAGTTCTTAAAGCTCGCTATAAATGGAATCTTGATGCTGGCTACAAATGGAACTAAAGAGAGCCATTAGACAAGTACTAGCAGAGTCTCCAGAGCACAACTGAACCAGCTCCTATTAAGGAAACAGAAGCCCAGTGGATCTAAAAAACTTTCCCTATCTGATAGAACTACACAGTACAGGGTTGGAACAAAAGCAAAGCTCTGTTAAATCCCAATCCCATGATCTTTCCAATTCCTATCATTCCAGAGTTGGTGAGATGAAAGATTTAAGCTTCATTTTTCTTTATACCCAGCATATATAAACTTTGTATTATTTATGGATCATCTTTGTACTCTACCATTTATAATTAACAGAATAATAACATCATTAAATATCACATGATATTTGGAAAATGGAGTGAATTATTTCTACTGTATCTCAACAGTAAAATTTAGGAAAATATTAAATTCAATTTTAATATTATTATTACAATACTATGGTAAGAGCTTTCTTTATATTAGCGGCCATGTGTGGTGGCTCACGAATGTAATCCCAGCACTTTGGGAGGCAGAGGCGGGTGGATCACCTGAGATCAGGAGTTTGAAACCAGCCTGGCCAACATGGTGAAACTCTTTCTCTACTAAAAATACAAAAATTAGCCAGGCATGGTGGAGCACGCTTGTCATCCCAGCTACTCAGGAGGGTGAGGCACAAGAATAGCTTGAACCTGAGAGGGTGGAGGTTGCAGTGAGCTGAGATCACACCACTGCACTCCAGCCTGGGTGACAGAGTGAGACTCCCTCTAAAATAAATAAATAAATAAATAAAGATCTTTCTTTATGTTAGGAACAAAAATTAGTCTCTATAACAATTTGACTTCTCCCAAAAGTACATTTCAAAAAAAAAGCAGCTGGCCGTGACGGCTCACACTTGTAATCCTAGCACATTGGGAGGCCAAGGTGGGAGCATCACTTGAGCCTGAGAGGTCAAGGCTGCAACGAGCTGTGATCATGCCACTACACTCCAGCCTGGGTGACAGAGCAAGACCCCATCTCCAAAGAAAATGCAATCAAAGGAAAATATAAAATGAAATATTCTATTACAATTGTTGAAAGAACCATAATACTACACTCAAAATTGTGTTTGTTATTAACTTTTTAAAAATCAGTGTTTAAACAGCATAAATACCTCATCAGAATAGGAAATAGATCTGCTCGGTGGGCTGTTTTCACTACAGTATTATCTTCTGAAATGCTAAAATGCACTATCTCTTCCTTAAAGCTTCTGTCTTCGAGCAACCTTTGTAAGTTTTCCCTTTAAAAACAGAGAATAGCACACATCACCATTTTATCAACAGTGCTTTTGAATAATGAAAGAGTGAAATATGTACACAGAGTAATAACTAAAATAAGGTATATAGTACATATTATGGTTGATATCCATAAAGGAAAATCCTAAAAAAAAACCTCCTAAAATGACAGATTTTCACATTTCAAAAGGTATAATGGATTAGAGAAGATTAGATTCTGTCCATAACTCAACTGTTCAAAAAAGCATGATACAAAAAGCTTTCTTCAGTTCTTAGAGTGACTTTGATTCTCTAAGTAACCACCAAGATTTTATGGCATTATATTAATAAGAAGAGGAAAATGACATAATATTTACAACACATTTTAAAAATTAACATTCTCTATTTTAGTACCTATGGAGAACAACCCAACAAATATACTACTCGTTTTCATTTCTTGCTTGGAAATATGATGACCTCAGAAAAAAGGGAAATTTCCTAGGCCTTTAAGAAATTATTCTAGAAGAAGCTCTTATGCAGAAGTATAAAAATCAGACAAAGAGATAGCAGTTCTTTCAGCTTCAAGCAACTTACCTGTAAGGGAGGATATGAGGATGTTTATATGTCATTATGCAATCCAAGGTTATTTTTTGCACCATTTGATCTTGGTGTAACAACAACTAAGAACAATATTTTACAGAATTAATGAAGTCATACATACATATACCATAGGACAGCAATTTACTTGTGGTTATTTGCTAAATGAGATCTGCTAAATTCTAAAGTTTTAGACAAGACCCAAACCTGATTGCTAACAACAGCTTCACATTTTCCTGGAAGTAAAAAAAGATGAACAGAATATGTGCAAATTAAAAAATGGAAACAAAACTCTCTGACACCTGCATCCCACAGTCACACCCTGGGGTCTACCAGTTTTGGGGTGAGGCCAATCCTCTCTCTCTCTCTTTTTTTTCTTTTCCGAGACTCTGTTGCCCAGGCTGGAGTGCAGTGATGCGATCTCAACTCACTGCAACCTCCACCTCCTGGGTTCAAGCAATTCTCTTGCCTCAGCCTCTTGAGAAGCTGGAACCACAGGCGCCCATCACCACACCTGGCTAATTTTTTGTGTTTTTGGTACAGATGCGGTTTCACCATGTTGCCCAGGCTGATCTCGAACTCCTGGGCTAAGGTGATCTGCCCGCCTTGGCCTCCCAAGTGCTGGGATTACAGACATGAGCATCTGTGTCCAGGCTGGTGAGGCCAATTCTCTATGTGAATCTGGATTTAAGCCAACCGGGCTGGTCATGTACTAAGGAAAATCTCTTATCCTATGAAGGTAATGATAGTCAATAAGATGCCAAGAAAAACATCTAAATGAAAAAAGAATCTGTTTCCCCAGATGGCTTAGAATGACATCCAAAGCTTACTTCATTTCTGACATTAATTAATTAATTAATTAATTTTTTGGGGAGATGAAGTCTCGCTCTGTTGCCCAGGCTGGAGTGCAGTGGCGTGGTCTCAGCTCACTGCAAGCTCCGCCTCCCAGGTTCATGCCATTCTCCTGCCTCAGCCTCCCAAGTTGCTGGGACTACAGGTGCCCGCCAACACGCCTGGCTAATTTTTTGTATGTTTAGTAGAGACGGGGTTTCATCGTGTCAGCCAGGATGGTCTCCATCTCCTGACCTCTCAAAGTGCTACGATTATAGGCATGAGCCACAGTGCCCGGCCCAACATTAATTTTTTTCTGCAAGCTTATCTGAAATTCAGGGCCACATAATTATGACTGCAATGGACTATAATAGATCCTGAAATCCCAGTCCTTTATGAAGTCTCACTAAACTAGAAGGGAAAAGTAGTCACTTGTTTTTTTGTATAAACCCTACTCTCTTCTAAGAGCTAATTTCCATGATATAATTCATGGTTCGCTATTCTCACTGTTAACACAGCCAGTCAATGTTTAGTCACCCAAAATGCTTTTAAAATCAGCTAAGTAAGTGCTAAAATTGTTTCTCAAGATAACAGAAAATATGTCAATTAATTTAAAAAAAAAGCCTTTAATACTTAAAATGTAGACATAGGCCCTATTCAATAATTATTGAAAATCTAAGCTACTCTGACAAAGAAAATGATAGAGAAAAGTTCACAAAGAATTATAGTGCCAAGAGTTTATTTTACTGACCTGAAGATATAACTCATATAATTTGGATTCCAGATATAAGGCCCGTGGATTTGAAAATTTAGAGAAAACTTGCAAATGAGCAATTAATTGCCTAAACAAAAACAAAACAGAGTGTTACAGATTTAAAGAATTGACATCATTTTCTTAAACTGACATTATCTACAATTTTATTCTGAATAGAACTTCAAACACCCTGCCTATAGTTTCACTATTATACAAACAAGACTTAGTTATTTACATTTAGGAAATTATTCTCCAGAAATCTCATATTTTGGGCAGTCCTGTCCCTAAAATTCAGGTTCTCCACACCAAAAAAATCATTCAGTGTATGCTCAGAATGGTTTAAATTGAACAAAAATTAGAAAGTAACCAAAAGAGTAAAATATTCCAAAATTGAACTCAGATGATTTTTGGAATTATTCGTCTAGGTTCTACGCGGCAGACAAAAAGTAGTAGAATATATTCTCCCTCACTTTCACATAATGTAAATACAGATGTCAGGCAACAGAGGTCCAGGTTTAGGCAACCAATGGCTCTTGCTCACCAGAAGGAAGAAGAAATATATCTGAGTATTTTCAGCCTGTGGTTGACCATGGCTAACTGAAATCGTGGGAAGTGAAACCATGGATAAGGGGAGAGTATTGTATAGTGACATGAAGGCTGGCAGTAATCTTTCCTGCCCCTGTGCTTCATACGCTATTTCTGTTAGTGGACAAGACCTTCTTTGTTCTAGCTGTCTGGCAAACTTTCATCTTTCTGCATCAGAGGGACTTCCCTGGGTCTTTCTTTTTTTCAAGATGGAGTCTCGATCTGTGGCCCAGGCTGGAGTGCAGTGGCACAATCTCAGCTCACAGCAACCTCTGCCTCCTGGGTTCAAGTGATTCTCCTGCCTCAGCCTCCCGAGTAGCTGGGATTACAGGCGTGTACCACCACGCCTGGCTAATTTTTGTATTTTTAGTAGAGAAAGGGTTTTACCATGTTGGCCAGGCTGGTCTCAAACTCCTAACCTCAAGTGATCTACCCACCTTGGCCTCCCAAAGTACTGGGATTACAGGCATGAGCCACCACGCCTGGAATTCCTTACTGAGCTCCAATACCTTCTTTAAAAATATTTCTCCTATAAAAATATTTCACCCAGGCAGGATTGACTATTACTCCTGCATTGCAGTGGCTCTGTACAATTCATCCCTGCACGCCAGCACTTAGCAAAGGGTACTCAATACAGTTATTGAATGGATGAACTAATAAATGGCTCGAGGGAAATACGCAACAAATGGGCATATCAGATTGAGATCTAAAGTGTTAAAATAACATTTGCGCCAATCCAGGAGACCTGAGACAGTCAATTCAATCATCAACTAAGCTGAAGTAACTTCTAAAAGCATGATCACTTCTTCTTCTAGGTTTCTAACAATTTAGGTAAAAGAACAACTAAGAGAATAAGAAAGAGAGTATAACAACAGCATGAGAAAAAAGTAATCAGTAGGAGACAAGTTAAAAGGCAGAGAAAAGTGCTAACAGGATGGTGGGAAGGTAGGTGGAAGGAAAAAAAAATGTGCTAACATGATTATTTATAAGAAAAAGGATGTTCCATTACATGGTCCCCTAGGATGCAAACACAACACCCTCATGCTGGGAAAGTGAACGACAAAGGTCAAAAGAATATCCAAACACTCCAGGTCCCAAAGTTCTCATCTATAAAAAGGAGCTACAATTAGATGACTCTCAAAAGTCCCCCAAACTAACATTATGTGGTTAACCAAGAAAAAACTAATAATAAGTAACCAACCAAAAAACTTGGAAGACTGACAGTTTTAGGCTGTTAAAGAAAATCCTAGGAAGATGTAGTGCTTATGTAAATAATTATCTGAGTAGTTGATTTTGTATAAAGCCATAGAGACCTCTTCCTGTTCCTCCTTTAGAACTGTGGATCTGTGATCTTTCAGCAATGGTGAACTTACTTTGCTGCGGCTCTTCTTGTCTTTTTCTTCTGTGAGGATTCATCCTGGGGCACTGCCTCTTCCTCCAACTCTTCATCATCTCCTGCGGCAGGTTCCTCTTCGATTTCCTCTGCCACCATCCCTTTGCCTTTTCTCCGCAGATCCTGAGTCGGAGCAACTTGCAGATCTGCTGGGTAATACTCATTGCTACCGTGGAAAGAAAGTCACAGGAGACTGATAAAGAATGCACACCAATCTGAAAGGTCCTGATTCTGCTCATGAGAGATGTCCACAGCTCACAGATTCACACACTGAAGAGACATCAGTGGCACCTTAGTCAAGCTTCCACAATATTACTCTTTTTTTTTAATTTGGCCCTTCTTTAGTATGCTATTTGACAAACCAATCACTAACTGTAGAAGATAGCCCATTCCACTGTTATACTATTGAAAATATTTGAAATGTCTATTTTGGACTAAGTGGAAATCAGCCTCCCTGTCTCTGGAACCATCACTGGGGGATGAGGGGTTAGGGATGCATGATATTAAATGATTAAAGTATAGCATTAGGACTGTGCTGGTCACTTTCCATCAGATACATTCTACTTTGCCAAAGTTCTCTTGAAAGTATCGTAGCATCACAAAATTTAGTCCTCTAGGTATGAATTGATAAGACAGATGGAACTACTATCTCCAGAAATTTTTTGAGCAGCCACAACATGACAAAGATTGAAACTGAATGTACATGTAATGAAAATCAATGAGTCTTTATGTTTTATCTCTTCTTAGCTTGTGCAGCTAAGCTTAATACAGTATTCACTTTGTTCTTATTAAATTTCGTCCTTTATTTTTAGTCCAATGTTGCAATTAATGAATATTATCTTGAAGTCTGTCATTTAATGTATTAGTTTGTGTCACTTTCATTCACTCATCCAAACAATTAACCTTTTGTTGTCTATTGAATGCAGGGCACTGGGCTAAAGATGCTAGGAAACTGATTGGATGGCCTTTCAAGTCCTCACTCAAAAACACACTGATAAAATAGGATAGCACCCTACCAACCCTCCTAAAAGAAACTCTAGCTTAGCCCAAGTTAACCTCCAGATCAATAACATTAAACTACAATCTGAGGGCTGGGAAACTATGGTACTAGGTATTTTCATCTAGCAGAATCTAGCACTTAATAAATCAAAAACTGGATGAATGACACAAGTAAAGTTTCTACAAGTTACAAACTACACCATCATCCACTTAATAACATACCTATTATACTTGCAACATTCAATCAACCACATATTACATTCTGTAACCTTTATCTCCATGAACAGCATGTTCACTCTTTCATCTATTAAATAAAACAATTCACATAAAGCATCTATAAGAGGGCCCAGCACACAGTAAGTACTCACTAAATATAACCTTTTATTAGCATGCTGTTCCATTGTTAGTCATTTGTTCTTGTTCCTGGTTTGGTTCATCTCAGAGAATGTTTACAAGGGATTCACAAATTAGTTGAAACATATTTAGAAATATAAATTGCTAGCCAAAAAATAAAAAGCCTATAATATACTTCAAAGTCATAATTCAAGGTGACATTTGGGTTTTTCATTAGTTCAGATCATCTATAAATGTATTATTTACAGGTAATCCATGCCAACCAGTATTAATTTAAACATTTCTTAGAATTGTGTATCTTTAGTCTCTAACTCTTTCTAAACTCAGAGACCCACTCCCTCTTACAGGCTCCTGTTTCTACCTCTACCCCACAGCATCTCATACCGTTAGAGTAAGATCTTATCCTTAAGTTATGGGGTAAACTAATTCTTTAGGGAAAAACTTAGAAAGTTAACATGGTATGAAGTTTATGTGCTACTAATACCATAAATGCCAGCTGGCATATGTACAGCCCTTGTAATTCAAAAAACTGATAAACGTTATTTTATATAACCCTCAAACCAAAGCAAAAAAAGCTAAACATCATTCTTATTCTATAAATTTATGCCCAAAGAATTACTTGAAAAAGAGAAAATCATTGCTCTTCTGCCACTATGTCTACTGACCTGCTACATCTTTGCTTGTGCCTTGCCAGAATGAATTATTCATGCAAACCTTTGAATTGATGCACTGTATCCGTCTCCTCTTACCTATTTGAAGACATGATTCTAGCCTTTTATTTTTGTTTTAGACGGAATCTCACTCTGTCACCCAAGCTGGAGTGCAGTGGCACGATCTCAGCTCACTGCAACCTCTGCCTCCTGGGTTCAAGCGATTCTTCTGCCTCAGCCTCCCAAGTAGCTGGGACTACAGGTGCAGGCCACCAGGCCTGGCTAATTTTTGTATTTTTGGTAGAGACAGGGTTTCATCATATTGGCCAGGCTGGTCTTGAACTCCTGATCTTGTGATCTGCCCACCTCGACTTCCCAAAGTGCTGGGATTACAGGTGTAAGCCACCGCACCTGGCTGGTTCTAGCCCTTTTATCCTTTCTTGCATTACCAATTTTCCCCTCCCATCTGGATCATTTGCACTGGTATCACATACATACACACTGTTAACTCTTTTTCTGGGAGCAGAGACAAAGTCTCATTCTGTCTCTGTCGCCCAGGCTGGAGTGCCGTGGCATGACCTCAGCTCACTGCAACCTCTGCCTCCAGGTTCAAGTGATTCTCCTGCCTCAGCCTCCCGAGTAGCTGGGACTTAAGGCACACACCACCATGCCTAGCTAATTTTTGTATTTTTAGTAGAGACGGGATTTCACCAGGCTGGTCTTGAACTCCTGATCTCATGTGGTCTGCCCACCTAGGCCTCTCAAAGTGCTGCGATTACAAGTGTTAGTCACTGTGCCCAGCCAACACTGTCTTAACCTCAACAACAGCTCCCTCTCTGCCCCCACGTTTCCCTCCACCTACATCCCTATGTCTGCTTCTTTTTCACTACAAAAACTTGCTGTTTTCATTTTTCTTTTCCTCTTTCCTGAGTTTTTATTTTTTTTTTGAGATGGAGTCTCGCTGTGTCGCCCAGGCTGGAGTGCAGTGGCGCGGTCTCGGCTCACTGCAAGCTCTGCCTCCCGGGTTCATGCCATTCTCCTGCCTCAGCCTCTCGAGTAGCTGGGACTACAGGCACCCGCCACCACGCCTGGCTAATTTTTTGTATTTTTAGTAGAGACAGGGTTTCACCGTGTTAGCCAGGATGGTCTCAATCTCCTGACCTCATGATCCACCTGCCTAGGCTTCCGAAAGTGCTGAGATTACAGGCATGATGAGCCACTGTGCCTGCCCCAGCTTATTTTAATCAGGCTGTCATCCCTATCAGATTAATCAAAACAACTCATTAAGGTCACCTTCATGTGGGTCACTCTAAGGTCACTCCAAAGCCAATGGTCACTTTATTCCTCAACTGATTGATTTCTCAGACACATGTGAGTCAACTGATTACGGCTGCCTTTAGTCTCTTCACTTGGTTTCCAGGATACCAAGTGGTCTTTCTTCTTCTATCACTCTTTCCTGGCCTCCTATGCTGGTTCCTTATCTCCCAACTTCGAAATACTGGTATCAGTTCCCGAAAGTCTTTTCCCTCTACAGTTATGCTCTAGATGACTTTATTCCCCTATCTGATCTTTAATACCATCCATATATTGATAATTTCCAATTTGTTATCTCCAGATCAAACCTTTCCCTTGAGGTTTGAACTTCTAAATTAAATGCTTTCCACATGACAACTCTACTTGGTTATTTATTCAGTGTCCCAAACTTAAAACACCTAAAAATGAACTTTTAATTCTCCCTGACAAACTTGCAACTCCTGCATTCCTCCCATCTCAGTAAATGGGAACTTTCCTCTAGTTGCTCAGGCCAAAGCCTTAGGGAACATCCTTGATTCTGTCCCTCCCCCATTCCTTCCCTCCCTCCTTCCTGTCCCACTCCCCACCACACACACCCATCCCACATCTGCGGCAAATCTCACAGGCTGATCTAGTTGCAACCTTTCATAAATGTATCTTATCGAATTGAAATCATTCAAAAAAGACCCATCTTCACTGCTATAACTTTGGTTAAGTTGCCATCACTTCTTGCCTGGACTTGTAATCTCCTCATGACCGGTCTCTCTACTCTACCAATGTCATTCTACAGTCTATTCTCAACACAGCAGCCATAAAAATCCTTAAGAAAACTTAGGTCAGGTCAGCTTTCTGCTTACACCTCCAAATGGCTTCTCATTTCACCGAAAGTAAGAGCCAAAGTCCTTCCTTTCACTTAAAGGCCTACACACTTTTGTGTCCTGCTGACTTTCTGCCCTTACCTCCAACCATGTCCTCCCTGGAGCACTCTGCTAGAACCACTCAGATCTTGCTGTTCTTTGAACAAGCCAGGCATGTTGTGGTTTATGGCCTGCTTGACCTAACCCTACAGCATTTTCCCAGGAAACTACTATAGTAAAACATGCTTTTTATGTATTACTTAGTAATGTTCTGCACACCACACCCCTCATCTTTAATTTTAATACAATCAGACTCTCACATAGCATACCCAGTCGAAACAAAACAATGCTCCAGAAAACTCTTGTTATTCCTCAGCATCATAGGCAGAAACACCAAGAGGCCCCAAGCAGTGTTGGTGCTGGGTCACTGGAAAATATCCTCAAGCCCCAGGCAGGCAATAAAGTAATGAATAACAGGGCAAGAAACAATAAGGCCTTTCTACATGAATCAAAGTCAATGTGGCCCTTCTTATACTGTAACCTGGACGTTTTTATTAATACCATTGGTGTGCTGGTTAAATTGTGATTCAGATCAAAATTAAATGGTGAACTAAATTGGTTTAGTCGTTATCTGATAGAGCCAGTGATTTATAGCTGCGCCAATGATTTGAAAATGTGACAGATGTATAAATAACTCAGCCTAATGGATGATTGGAAGCAGAAAGAAAAAAGACAAAAAACAAAAAAACAAGAACTCAGCCCATTTTGGGAGGTTAATGCTTCTCACGTTCTCTTCTTCATGCCCCACCAGGGACATATTCTTAGAAGAGGAAACTTACTTGATAAATCTCAAGAAAAGCGGGGAAAGCTCCCTGGACCGTGGCTCTACTCTTTCTGGGAATTTTGTCAGAGCTCTCCAGAGCAGGAATCTGAAGTTGGTGTGGTCAAGTCTTTCCCGACAGTCAGTTTTCAATGCTAACTGCTCATGATAAAGAGCTCCAACATCTCCTTCCTGGGTCTGCGCCCAACTTTCATCTCCAATGGACTTCTCATCTGTCATATCATTCTGCAGTTCTTTCTCTGCAAGAAAGTTGTCAAAACCACCAGACAAATATCAACATTTATCTTAAGTATTTCCTCAAGAGAGGATATTTCTTTCTCTGTAATGTAAGGAAACAATGTCACTCCCAAAAGTTATCAAGATAATATATGTTTCATCTCTGTTTTTCAATTTCGTGAGTAATTAAGCAGTAAAAACAAAACAGTTAACCATTTTTCTTTGCAGCCTCCTCACAACCCCTTACATACCAGCATGTGTAGCTGCTTTTTCTAGATGCTCATAGTAGACTTTCCAAAATTGCTTATTTTCCATTTCGTGTGCATGAGAACTATAGAAAAAAAAAAAAATCACAAAACAAAAAGTGTGGAACGGTCATTTTAAGATTGCTCACGGAAAAAAAAAAAAGAGTGAAAGGATATAACTAAAATGTTAATTAGGTTATCCCTCAGTGTGGAGTCCTAAACACCTTTGGCACTTTTCTATATATTTCAAAATGCCTGCACTGAGCACAAATTATTTTTATAGTCATAAAGCACTAAAGAGTATTTTTTAGAATATAAGTAGATCCTTAAGAGAAAATAATTTTTAAAGGCACACTTTTAAAACTGGGGCATGGGGCATGAATAAGATCCATTAAGAGAAGAAGGAGCCCTCTGGAGAAAAAAGTCAGTTTGTTCAAAACTAACTTAAAAATAGTGAGTTTCCCTCCACCAAATTTAAATATACTTATTAACACAAAGGCAAAATAAACATTTACTAACTACATGAAACATACTTTTCAGAACTTAAAAGAAGACATTAGATGGATCACATAAAGTGCTTATGTAGTTTGATATCCTAGCAACAATACTCTCGAATATTCTGTCACTAATTTTCTAAGAGTATGCATAAACTTTATACGTGACATGAACTGTGTATGTTGCAGACTGACCCTACTCAGAAAACAAACCAACAGGTATGTTGTTGTTTCTGTCCTTCCAAACAGAAAGAGGTACCCAACAGGAAGACAGCCCAGCCACTAGGGAGAATGCCTCATGACATTCAGTAATTGAAGAACCAACGCTGTTGACAGTGTGCTACTGTAACACGTATGTCAAATTCTCTCTTCTGAAAGTATAATACACAAAATAATGAAGCTGATGTTGGGAGAATCTTGCTTTTGGCACATTGGTTTTGATGGCTTTGAAAGGTAGACAAAGTGTAGGAAAAGGTAGACAAGGGTAGTAAAGGTAGACAAATTGGTTTCAGATTGTAAAGGGATTGGTCTATAAATGTTAACTCTCTTATTCTGTCAAATAAGAATAATCGTTGGGGTTTTGAAAGGCCTCACATGATATATTTCCAATCTGATAAAAAAGTGAGTGTGTGTTATCTGAAGACAAATGTCTGAAGACAGATTTCTACACATGAGCCATAATGAGTATTTTCTTTTCTTTTTTTTTTTCTTTTTTTTTGAGACAGAGTTTTGCTCGTTGCCCAGACTGGAGTGCAATGGCGCAATCTCGGTTCACTGCAACCTCCACCTCCCGGGTTCAAGCGATTCTCCTGTCTCAGCCTTCCGAGTCGCTAGCATTACAGGCATGCGCCACCATGCCTGGCTAATTTTGTATTTTTAGTAGAGATGGGGTTTCTCCACGTTGGTCAGGCTGGTCTCGAACTCCCAACCTCAGGTGATCTGCCTGCCTTAGCCTCCCAAAGTGCTGGGATTACAGGCATGAGCCACCGCACTCGGCCTACAACATGTATTTTCTACGTGACCACTGAAGGCTTTTTGGGGCTAAAGGGATTTTGGATGCTAGACAGCAAGGTTTTGAAAAAGTCTTTATTTTTAAAGTATGGCTCAGTGACTCAATATATAGAAATAAAATTATGCAACTATTATACTTCCTTGCTGTAACAAATTTTAAGAACACAAAAGTATCATAAAAAGCAAAAAGAGAAACTCCTCCAAAGTTATTTCAACACACAAAGAGACACACATACAACATTGGAACTACTGAAGATGTGGCATCAGAGAGAATTCTTCATGTTTATTTTTAATTCACCTTGTCTCACAAAGGATTTAAAGTACTGTAAATACCATATATACCCATTCATTTAAATCATACCTAGGAGGAGTATAATCTGGGCCCCATCATTCTGCAGTAATTAAAGTATAATAGTTTCATCCCATTTAACCCATGTTTACCTTATGAGTTCAATAACAGGATCCCAGAGTGCACTGAAATTAATATATAGCATGCCTAACAAATAACGAAGCGGCACCTGCAATTACAGGAGACTAGTTTAATAGCGGGTAATGAAATACAATACAGAAGTACTGAAATGCAAACATCCCAAGTTGGACAACCTGAGGTTTGGAAAGAAGCCTATGCGATAAGAAAAAAAGTTGCAGGCACCAATCCAAAATTCATTGTATACTAATTTTCCTCTTCTCCCCAAAATGTCACTCACTATTTAAAATATAAAGAATCGCTGCAGCAAATACAGTATTCAAATTCACTCCAGGTGTTCATTCATTTAAATGCACAGATTTGACTAATGATTAAATTCCCTTCTAACAAATCTTGCTGTCGCCAGATTAAGACAAAACTTCAACAGTAGTCAGTAATGCTCACATGCCAAAGAACGCAAGGAAACATGCTGTGAATGACTGAGGCTTTGCAAGTTCAGTAAGTCCAAAGTTTCCCAGTCACCTTTTGGAATAAGGGTCATTATTACTAGGGAGTAATGTGCTAGGGAGGCACCATCCAGACTGGTGGTTTTATTATTATTTAGGGGTGTGGTGTTTGTATATATTCTAGCAGCAGTCTTTTTTCCAAATGAAACAGAAGATCCTAATACATAAAACAGGTAAGAGAAGAACTGCTCTGACTGAAGGGAGAATGCCTCCTTTTGGCCTCACTCCCAAAGGGGTCTGCGATGTATCTTCAAGGGTCACGGAATGAAAACCCTGACATAAAACATAGAAGACTGGGCCGGGTGTGGTGGCTCACGCCTGTAATCCCAGCACTTTGAGAGGCCGAGGAGGGCGGATCACGAGGTCAGGAGATCGAAACCATCCTGGCTAACGCGGTGAAACCCCGTCTCTACTAAAAATACAAAAAAATTAGCTGGGTGTAGTGGCGGGCACCTCTAGTTCCAGTGACTCGGGAGCTGAGGCAGGAGAATAGCGTGAACCTGGGAGGCGGAGCTTGCAGTGAGCAGAGATCGTGTCACTGCACTCCAGCCTGGGTGACAGAGCAAGACTCTGTCTCAAAAGAAAAAAAACAAAAAACAAAAACAAAAATACATAGAGGGCTGATGTTCTGCAGCAGCAAAAAAATCTAGTGAAGAACAGGCTTTAAACCTGACATTGAGTCCTCCTGTTGCCACTACCTACCTACCTACCTACCTACCTACCTATCTGCATTACTCAGGTTCAGTGAGCCCCTGCTTACTCATTCCTAAAAAGGTACTAACATGACCAGGTACGGTGGCTCACACCTGAAACAGACAATACTAAATTATTCCTACTACTGAAAAAGCTGGCAGAGCTATTTAACTCAAAACATCTAAGAGAACGGGGGATTTCCCTTATTATTTTTAAATTATTATTATTATTTTGGTGACTACTTGGTATGCTTCCCAAAATAGGATTTAAAGCATGAGTTAAAAAGGAAAAAAAAAAAAAGGACACTATTTTTACCTCCTGTAACGGCCCATCAGGGACAGCAGCCTGTACCACATCATGTCTTAGTTTTCTTAAATGAAGAAGCTTCTCTCTATAATCATTCACAGTTGCTGGAACAAGTTCTGCCTGGCGTAATATAGCAAAGACAGACTGCCGTTCTGAGAGCCCATCATCCTGAATAACCAGAGAAAACCATGGAGAAGACCAGTCAGTATTTTGATTTTCCAAAACGAACATTAAATGTGACCGAAGGTCTAAAAACAGAAAAACTGGAATATGTGATTTTTAATGAAATAAGCAACACTTTTGTTTTGGTAAATGATTCTTTTCTCCCCATACCATTTCCTTCTTGGTAGATAATTTAGTGTGTAGTGCATAAATGACAACTAAAAAACAGGAAAATCATTCTCAAGTCACTCAAATTGATTGGCAACATTTGTTGAAATAAAAATATATACATGCTTTCGCTTCACAAATTTACTCCTAGTAAACTGCATTATGGAACTATTTCCCTACAGAAACATTTCTGTGTAAGGATGTTCACTGTAGTATTGTTTGAAACCGTAAAAAACTGCAAAACCCACCTAACCATCCATCAACAAGCAAATGGCTAAATAAGACATTTTCAATTGTGGAGTAGTATTCAAACTTCAAAAGGAATGAAATAGACACTGGCTGGGTACAGTGGCTCACACCTGTAATCCCAGCACTTTGGGAGGATGAGGTGGGCAGATCACTTGAGGTCTGGAGTTCGAGACCAGCCTTGCCAACATGGCAAAACTCCATCTCTACTAACAACACAAAAATTAGCCAGGCGTAGTGGCAGGCACCTATAATCCCAGCTACTTGGAAGGCTGAGCCAGGAGGATCGCTTGAGCCGGGAAGGCGGAGACTGCAGTGAGCCGAAATCACGCACTGCATTCCAGCCTAGGTGACAGAGTGAGACCCCGTAAAAAGAAAAGAAATGAGGTATGAGGTAGATATAGAGGTAATCATATGGAAAAACCCCGTGATATCATTTGTTTAAATTATGTGTGTGTGTGTATTCAAAAAGTCTGAAAGAATATTCACCAATTAACGGTGGATTTCCAGTGGTGACTTTATGGGTAGACAGGAGTAAGAGTTACCAAAAAAAAAAAAAAACAATTTTTATGATAAATATATAGTGTGTTAATTTTCTGCAAAGGTATCATTTTGGAAACTACAATAATATGTAAAACCACATTTTTTTTAAAACCTATCCACTCAAACAGTTAAAGTACCTCTATTAATTCCGGAAGCTGGACATCAAAATGATTTAGGATCCTTATTGTCAAAAGTCGAATCTGGAGAAAGTAAAAGGCATCTTTCAAATTCCAAAGTTTAAGCATAAAAATAAACTGATTCACAGCAAGATTTAAGTTTTATACTATTAAAAAAAAAATACCATTTGACCAGAGTAATACGTGCCTATTCTAGCCCTTATTTCATATTCAACACTAACCAACACCTAGTTAAAATAGTACATGGAACAATTAGTAGTTTCTTTGAACTATGACACTATAACCGTGTCTGTAAATAAGTACAAAGAAGTTGATTAAGCTGACGATTCAATTAAAGTTAGTGATTTTTATTCCTAAGTAATGTACAATATTCAGGTATTTCTGCATACCTAAATGAGCAGGAGAACCACCTAGAAGACTTAAAAAAAAAAAACTATGTTGATTTCTCAATTCTACCCTAGCCCTACTGAATTGGAATCTTTGAGGGTAGGGACCCAGAATTTGTATTTTTATTAATCTCTCTAACTAATCCTACTGCAATCAGTTTGCAGGCCAACATTTAAGAATCATTGCTTTAAACAGAAATCATCCCACAGCAACACTTTCTAACTAAGATGCTCTGAAAATCACTGCAGTCCATATAGAAACAGGAGAAGAGAGACTGCGGACACACTACCACAAAACGCCATTACCTTGGATACACCAGTTGAAATGTTTGCTTGTAACTTCGGAAATAATTCCATTAAAGCCTCCTGGGAAAGTGGCCCTTTGCAGCCACACAAGGATAATCTCTGATAATAGAGATCAGCCAACAGCAACACAGATGGCTCCAGAGGAAAGGTTCTGCAACGAGACGTTCATTAGACCCAAACTGCACCATATGACCCAGAGTATCTAGACTATAGTATAAGCCACAGAAAATGATCACTGATGAAGAAAATGTAAAAGGTAACAGGCAAAAGTCTCATGTGGACATTTGGCTCACTTCATAGATGAAGAATGTGAGGCCTAGCAATAATGAGTGACGTATGCAAGGACACACAGCTGGTTGGAGGCAGAGGAGGGAGTAGAATATGCTAGACTCCAATGTTGCCTCTTCAATCCACATAGTTGTAAATGACAGCCATATGAGATACACACACACACACACACACACACAGTCTTTGTTAAAAAATATATATATGTAATATTTATTAAGTGTTTGTCATGTGCCAGGCACCAAGCTAATGAGGAAAGTAGTAGAGACAAGTGGTCTGACACACGAGCTCTGGGGTAGGGCAGCCCAGGGTTGAATCTAGCCCCATCATTCATGAGCGGTGTAACCTCAGGCAAGTTGCTTAACCTCTTAGTACCATCCTTATGCAACAAATATTCACCGAATACCTATTATGTACTGTAACTTTTCTAGATACTGTAGATAGAGCAGTTAACAAAAGACAAAGTTCTTTTCTTGGAACTTATATTCTAGTAGGTGAAAGCAGCCAATAAATAAGTACTATGACAGTGATGAGTGACATGGAGAAAAGTAAACCAGGGGAAAAAGGCTTGACAAAGACTGCATGCAGGGAGTTGTGGGGAGATGGTGTGGGGCTGAAGAGAAGCACCATTTGATACAGGGGTGCTCCTAAAAGGAGGAGACCAAAGGAAGTGAAAAAGTGAGCTAAAGGGGTATCTGAAGGAAAAGCATTCTAGGCAGAGGGAACTGCAATGCCAACTGTGAGGTGTGCTTGTCTGCAGGAACATCGAGGAGACCATCTCAGCTGGAACTGAGCTAAGGAAGAGTGCCTGAAGATGTCAGAAGTAGCCAGGGGTTAGCTCATACAGAGCCCCGAGGAACATGATGAGGACGCTGGATTTTATACGGAGTGAGATGGGATACCTTTCGAGCAAGGTTTCTCTACAGTAGCACTACCAACATTTTGGGCCAGAGAACTCTTTGTGGTGGAGGGCGGTGCTGCCCACTGCAGGGGGCTCAGCAGCATCCCTGGCCTCCACCCACTAGATGCCAGTAACAGTGCTCTTTCCCCCCACTGTGACAGCCAGAAAGTCTCCAGGGTTGCTGCCAGTTGAGAAGCACTGTATTAGAGTGTGGGGAGCAAAAGAGTGGCATTTCCTACACTTAGAAGCAGCAGGGCAAGAATGGAAGAAAGGAGACTCATCAGGAGTTCAGACAGGGCTTTCTTTTGAAACTTTAGTTCCCCATCTATACTGATAACAGTACCCACACATAATGGAGTTGTTGTGAAGATTAAACAACGTACATAATGTGTGCATATGGACACAATCAATGCAATTGTTGATTACTATTATTGCATGCATTGTACAGCTTAATCTCTACAAGGTGAGATTTCTATTCCTTCCTTTTTTTCTTCGCTATCCCTTTTTGAGAGATAATCAAGTTGAGGTTAACTAAGTCACCCAAGGCTACAGAGCTAGTTAGTGGTGGATTCAAGACTCAAAACCAGGCAGTCTTGGCTGTGAAACCTAGGTGCTCATCAGTCCACTAGCATAGCAAAGAGAACAGAATCCTGTGTCTACTCTGCAAGCTTATGCCCCTGCCCTCAAAACCAGAGCCACTCCTGTTGGACATCTCTGTGTCTCCAAGGCTTAAGAGCCACCTGGCTGGGAGGCAAGCTGGCCTTCCCCAGGGGGAACATGGGCCCCATTCTGTGCTATGTATGTCTTTTGTTTCAACTTCTACAGCCACCTTCAATTGTTTATACCAAGGGTGAAAGTACGAGAAGTTTAAACAGAATGATTTTAAAAGGGAGACTATGTAATACGGTAAATGTGGTGATGTCAAAGAACTAATCCTCTCTAAAGGAAGTTAATTTAAACCAATACAATTAACCATGGAGAAATGCCAACTTCACCCAGATTTGGAAAGGCAAAGAGATTCCGGATTATTATAGTATTCCCCTACAGTCTCGTCTTAACATAGCAGCCAGAGTGATTCTGTTTAGGTCAAAGTCACTCTACTGCCAAAAATCCTCCCATGGCCTCCCCTTTCACTCAGAGTAAAAGCCAAGGCCCTGTGGTGACCTAAGGAGGTCTACTGCCTCCACCTCTACGTCCTCTTCTCCTACCACCCACTCTTGTGCTCTGCTCAGCCAACATGACCTCTCCTTGCTGCTCGAGCCAGGTACCCACCACACCCACAAAGCGTTGGCACTCATGTCGCCTCCAGGTCTGGAACCCAGGGAGCAGCCCAGACCACAGGTATCCTCATGGCCTATGTCCCTCACTGCTTTCCGCGTTCTGCTCAAGCGTCTCCTCCTTGGTAAGATCATTTCGATTTAAAACTGCAACCACTCCCCTCACCTCTGGACTCTCCCTGTCCCCTGACCCTGCTTTGTTTTTCTTCACAGCACTTAGCACCTCCTAACACGCTATACAGTTTACTTATTTATTCTATTTAGAGCCTCTTCTGGCTACAACACTAGCTACAAGAAGGCAGGGAATTTTGTCTGTTTTATTCACTATGTTTCACAGTGCCTAGAACAGGGCTTAGCATGTGAGAAGAGCAAATGATTAACTACTGAACAAAGTGAATGAATAAATCTTTAAAACACTTGGAAATAAAATGGAGTAGACTTCAGGAAAAAGCAGCAAGTCTTGACAGTTTAGAAAAGATACATTGTTGACTCCCCCCAAATGGTTCTGTGCTACTACCAAAATCAAAGGCTGGCTGAACTATTCTTAAAAAGCAAACACAGAAACCAAACCAACAACAACAAAAAAGAAACTGGATGGTTTCTGTGTGTAGTAAAAAGAACACAGGGAAGTTTTCGGAAATGCTGATCACGCCAAGTTGAGGCCGAACAAGAGTGGGAATGTTCCTGTTGGAACCATTAAAGAAGTTATAAAAGGTCAACACCATGCCTTGTTACAGCTGGGAATGATCAGAATTACAAACCCTTCAAACTTGACCACATTAATCTACACACGTAGTAAAACATCCTTTACAAAGATGAATCTGTATTTAAAGACTGTGTCAAATGTACTTATTTTAACTGGAGGATCTAAATCAATATTAAATTTCACTATGTGAATACAACTCAGGTATAAAATAGATCAAGGGGATTTTCATTGTGTCCAAGATTTCACAACAATAGAGGCTTTTATATTTTATTCATTACTAAGCCAGTTGGAAGATGTTTACTTACAATACTAAATTCTTCACATGTTCCACAGGAACCAAATGAAGAAGTTCAGAAGATTCTTCCAAACTTAGTAGAGTATTTACAGCTTGACAAAGAACAAATAAGTTCCCTAAGGGCAGAAAAACAGGAGAAACCACATTACTTATTTCTTTGACATTATAACTATCAAATACCTTATTTATCAAATACTTGCTACTTATGGGAAGTTCTTAGAGTGAATTCGTGCCTTCCAAAGAATTACCTGTCAAACATCTAAATATAACAGAAAGAAACAGAAAAGAGAAGTTTCCAAATCCTATATTTTACCTTTCTTGAGAAAAATAAGGCTGGGCATGGTGGCTTATACCTGTAATCCCAGCACTTTGCGGGTGCTGAGGTGGGAAGACCACTTGAGGCCAGGAGTTCAAGACCAGCCTGGGCCACACAGTGAGTCCTCATCTCCATAAAAGATTAAAAATCAGCTGGGCATGGTGGTTCACACCTGTAGTCCCAGCTACCAGGGAGGCTGAGGTGGGAAGATTGCTTCAGCCTGGGAGGTCAAGGCTGCAGCAAGCCATGATTGTGCCACTGCCCTCCAGCCTGGGTGACTGAGCAAGAGAGTCTCAAAATAAATAAATAAATAAATACTCAGAAGTAGAGAATAAAAATGCATGTATGTTCCATTAACCAAAATGAGTACAAGTATAATGGTCCCTCTCACTGACGTTATCAAAACTAGGACTTTTGAGGAGTACAGGCTTGGATTTATCAATAGCTAAGAAATTATCTTGGTATAAAACTTGTTGATTTTATTTTTCAAGTTTATGAGAAGTCACATATTTAATGGCTACTACCTACAATACACTCAATTAATGATTTTATTTATTTGTTTAGAGACAGAATCTTGCTCTGTCGCTCAGGCTGGAGTGCAGTGGTGTAATCTCCGCTCACGGCAACCTCCACTTCCCAGGTTCAAGTGACTCTTCTGCCTCAGCCTCCCAAGTACCTGGGATTACAGGCATGTGCCACCACACCCAGCTAATTTTTGTATTTTTAGTAGAGATGGGGTTTTACCATGTTGGCCAGGCTGGTCTCGAACTCCTGACCTCAAGTGATCCACTCACTTTGGCCTCCTAAAGTGCTGGGATTACAGGCGTTAGCCACTACACTCAGCCTTATTTTTTTAAAGAGAGTGGGGGCAGGGGGGGCGGGTCTCACTATGTTTCCCAGGCTGGTCTTGAACTCCTGGCCTCAAGTGATCCTCCTGCCTCAGCCTCCCAAAGTGTTGGGATTACAGGTCTAAGCCATGGTATTCAGCATAATTAATGATAATTAAACACTCATTTAGTCTCTAGCCCAGAGGTCAGCAAACTATGTCTCTAGCCCAGAGGTCAGCAAACTATGGTCTGCAAGTCAGATCTGGTAGGCAGCCTGTTTCTATATGGACTGCAAGCTAAAAATGATCTTTACATTTTGAAGGGGTTGTTTAAAAAATATATATATAAAATATAATATATAAAAATATATATAATACATATAACTATATATAATATAATATATACAAATATATATAAATATATATATATATATATATATGCCACCAAGACTGAATGTGGCCCATAAGACCTAAAACATTTACTGTCTGGTCCTGTACAAAAAGATTTTACCAGTCCCTGCTCTAAGCTCTAGATCAGTGCTGTACAACAGAATTTTCTACAATGATAAAAATACTTGTCCTAATATGTCGCCACAATCCAGTACAGTAGCCACCAGTCACATATGGCTACAGAGCACTTGACATGTGGTGAGTTCACTTTATTCTCTAATACATCTGCTTAGTATCTAACACAGAATGCAGCACAGTAATATTAATATTTAAGTGAATGAATGACCACTATGTACGCGTGATTTTTAAAAAAATTCTGCATTAGAATAAAACAAAATATTAAATAATTGCTTTTGATTTGCTGTTTGCAGGCTAGTAGGGGAGACATGTAAGTATCCAATAGGAAATGGTGTTTTGGGCAGGGTAGTCTAATTCTGCCTGAAGAGTCATAAAGGCCTTCCTAGAGGTGTTGTGCCTGAGCCGAGTTTTGGAAGATAAGCAAGAGTTCACTGAATGACAAAGACCTAGAAAGGTCTCCATGCAGAGGAAACACATGGACAAAGGCAGCCACACAGTTGTAAAAGAATGTATCTTTCTCAGGGTAAGCAAATGGATTTGCTTGGAGCATAAGGTGCATACTAGGAGTCAGATGTACGTGGGAGATGAGAAATAGGATCTGGTATGGGGCTCTAAAACAAATGGCCTTCAAAGCCATGGCATCCTTTTGATATGTCCCCTTCCTTATGCTCAAGCCACCGTGACCCAGTCACCACATTATGTGGTAAAAGTGAGACACACCCACCATATCCTCGTTTCTTCCAGATTTATCATCCAGGGGGTTATGCCAGAACACAATGTAAGTATTATTCTCTAATAGCCCATGTGTTTACAATTACTTTGAGTGTGCCAGAAAAGAAGAGAAGAAAACACATGATGATTGTAACTGACCTTTCCCAAAGCTTCCTTTATCAACAGTCATGAAGAGTGCCTCTACGAAGCAGGTGACGAGTGGTATCACCTTCTCTTTCTCAAGAGGTCTGTCCAAGCGGGAGAAAAAGGGAAAAGTTCAAACTGGCATTCAGTGGTTTGTTTCAGAGAACAGCAAGGAATGGCTAACATATTTGAATCAGCATGTTATCTCTTTCAAAATTAAACATAGCTTATTTTCTTACCTAATATGAGGCAACACCACCAGGGCTGCCCAAGATTGTGAAAGGTAAATAGTATCTTTATTTGGGGGTAACTTAATTATAGATAAAAGATGGTCCAATACTGGAAACTGTTTGTTTCTTCCCTTGGATCTAGTCTTCTTCTGCTTTATATAGGACCTGAAGGGTTAAAAAAAAACATATATGTTTAAAATAACAGAGAATGTAATCGCTGTTGCCCTCTGAAGTCTGAAATAAAATTGGATTCTTACCATTGTGGAGCATTAGAGGGAAGGAACTGGTGGTGGTGGTTGAGCTAAATAAATGTGAGTCATTTACTGAGTTTTCAGTAAGAGGCTTTTTCAGCTCCACTGGCTCTACTTCCTTTCACTTCTATTTTAATTTGCTTTATAACTGAAACCAAGTTTCTTCTAGTTTTAAGTATGATTTCTCAATTCTGTGCTCCTGGGCATGTTTTTGATTGGCAATTCACTGGAATGAACTGACTTCGTCCATTCTCCCTTTCCTTTTTGACATGAATTTTACTACTATCCACAAATGTAGAACGATGTTGCAGAGTTACTGTGATGAAGTTGACGAATACCACTAACATGATTATGATATCTAAGTAATTTTCTCCTGCTGCTTTGACCAGATACACAGTCGCTCAATGACATTTTCCGACATGACATTCTGTTTTGAATAGCTGTGACTCTGGTACTACTCTTGTTAGCCTCTTTTTATTTTTGCCAGTATGCTATACCTCGGTCCTATTTGAAAGACAAAAATCTAATCAAAAGAAAAATCACAGAAATCATAAGTTAAATGATTTGTTTTACAATTTATCCTCCAACTCCAGTTTGGTTAGCTTGTTATGCAATAGAAGTGGAATATCAGGTTTTTACTCTTGTGCCCTTTTTATCATTAAAATTCATCAAAAAACAGTCAGCTAAGGGCAGGAAGGAAAAAAAGAAAAGAAAAAGAAAAAAAATTCACCAAAAAGCTACATTCTCTTTTGTTTCATACTTACCAGAATGTTTAGTGTTTGGAAATCATGATAGATAATTAAGTTAATTTAATTATCAATTCCTTAAAGTCACCACATCTTGATATATATAGTCTTTTTAGTAATAATCATGACTCAACAATCTGCAAAAATCTTACGAAATACTGAGATGCTTTAAAAAACAAAAGTGAGTCATTAGTTGCCACGTCACTCCCGTTTTCCAGACCTGCCAATGGCTCCACCAATGAAGTCTGTACTCCTTACGTCATCCTGTAAGGCCCTCTGTGATCGGACCCTTGCCCACCTCCATCTCCTCTCATCCCACTCTCCTCCTTGCTCTTTACCCACAGAGGTTTTCTTTCTGTACTTCAAACATGCTGAGCTTATTTCTGACCCAGAGTCTCTGCAGTTAACTTTTCTTTCTGTCTGGAGAATCTCTCACTGAGATCTTTGCAAGGCTGGATCCTTCCCAGCTTAAAATTGGACCAAACGTCCCCTGGAAAGGAATAGTGACCCCTCTCCATTCACTCTCCCTCTCAATACTGCTTTGTCTTCTTTTACCACGATCTGAAATCATCTCGCTTATTTGCTTACCTGTCTCACCACATTCCTCTCCCCCGAAGAAGGAACTTTTTTCTTATTCTTTGTTGCACCCCAGTGTCCAGTGCCTGACACTGTTAAGTAGTTGTCAAATGACAATAAGTTTATCTTCTAAAGGGTCTTTTCACATTTATTATCTTTATTTTTTCTCCCAGCAAACTGGTGAGATGGGTAGATGGAGTGTTACTAGTAACATTCAAACTATGATTTTAAAATCTTCACAGAAGGAATCAAAACAAAGGTGACCATTCACATATGCCATATCTCCGTGGGGTATAGCAGAGGGGTATTTTTGCAGAGAAAGAAACACAGAAGTGGGAGTACTTACCATGAGTTAGCACGTCTAAATTTATTTATTTATTTTAACACGCCACCTTCCTGGGAGGATCTGAGATGGCTGAGATGCTGAGGTAAGAAAGTCTGACACCCAGTCTCAGTTAGAACCTTAGCTTCACCTCATGGAAGCCAAACAACAAAGCAGCTTCACTCCCCCTGCACAGAACCCAGTTTTGGCAGGTGCAAGGAATCTGCCTGCTGGAGATGGGCTTGGGTGTTGACAAATCAAGAGGAAAGTTTCAAAGGAATAATTCTATAGGAGTTACTCACTACCCATTCCACAGGAATCAGAATTCAATACATTTAAAAACCAACAAGCTGATGTTGGCATATTTTAATAGAGAAGCAACTTGTAAGGTAGACAGAAGATACAAGTAGGTGTTAAGATGAGTTTGCTAAACACAGCGGCTCAACCTATAACTCCAACACTTTGAAAGGCCAAGGCAGGAGGATCACTTGAGTCCAGGAGTTTGAGACCAGCCTGGGCAACATAGCGAGACCTCGTCTCTACAAAAATTAAAAAATTAGTTGGGCATGGTGGTGCGTGCCTATGGTTCCAGCTACCTGGGAGGCTCAAGTGAGAGGAGAGCTTGGGCCCTGGAGGTCGAGGCTGCAGTGAGCCGTGATTGTGCCACTGCACTCCGGCCTGGGCGACAGAGCAAGACCTGGTCTCAAAATCATAATAATAATAAATAAAACATTTAAAAAAGAAAATAGGATCCTCAGAATCTCAAGCTGATCAAACTCAAAATCTAGCTCTGCTGTATGACTGTGGGACAGTTACTCCCACCTCCATGGATGTTTCAAAGTCGAGTATTCAGCACAAACTCAAGGAATGCCCATCAATTCTGCCTCAGAGCAAACCAAAAACTCAACAACAGGTCTAACTACTCCAAGATAAATACGAAGATTAATTATAAAAACAAAGGAAAGACAAGGGAACTGGTTTCCTAAGCTACAATTTCTAGACGCATATCCACTTAACTATTTGAGAAATGATACTACGAATCTTCTCATGTGTGTAAATAAACTTTGTTTTTAACTTCTAAAAGGTGTCATTTTGAATGAAATTAAGAAATTAATCCATGACACTTAACAACTGAAACAATATAAAGGTATATAATTTTTTATTTTTTTTTTTTGAGACAGTCTCGCTCTATTGCCCAAGCTGGAGTGCAGTGGCGTGATATCGCTCACTGCAACTTCTACCTCCCTGGTTCACGCCATTCTCCTGCCTCAGCCTGCCGAGTAACTGGTACTACAGGTGCCCACCACCATTAAGTTTTTGTATATTTAGTACAGATGGGATTTCACCATGTTAGCCAGGATGGTCTCGATCTCCTGACCTCGTGATCCACCTGCCTCAGCCTCGGAAAGTGCTGGGATTACAGGTGTGAGCCACTACGCCTGGCCAGGAGTGTGGTTATTAAAAAGTAGCATGAGGAATCCTCAAGGTGAGGGAACAGTTCCATATATTCACTCTGGTGATGGTTATAAATCAACATGTGATAAAACTGCATACAGCTATATATCTATATATGTATACAAACTCAGATGAGTGCACATACAACTGATGAAATCTGATTAAGATTGATGGATTGCACCAATGTCAGTTCTGCAGTTGTGATATTGCAGTATGCTTAGGCAGGATGTACTAATGGGAGAATCTGAGTGAAGAGTATATGAAACCTCTCTGTACTATTTCTTGCAACTGCACATGAATCTACAATAATTTTACAATAAATGGTTAAAAAATTAAGTCACCTCTATCTTTCCCTTACCATCCTTCTGATGTAAACAAAGTTAACAGGTTTGTGTATCCTTCTACGTGTTTTTCTATGTTCATACACACATTTTGCTTTACCTTGCAAAATGAGATCATACTATACATATTATGTGTGTAGCTCTACAACATGCTTTTTTCACACAACTTATCACGGACATCCTTCCAGTTACATATAGATCTTCATTTTTTTACAGTATTTTTGATATATTATATTTAAATGGGTAATCTTATCATCATTCCAGGAATAAAAACTTAGCACTCACCCCACCATCTGCGGTGAGAAAGTCAGAGGGTACTTTTCAATTGCCATCGAGCCAGCAGTGGGAGGTGCCGCTTTGTTCAGAATGAGCTTGGCCAGAATGGCCAGAGCTGCGTCTTTGACTACAGCATCATCAATTAGGAAGCAATTCACAATATATGACAGAAAGCTTGGTAGAAATAGCTAAATTTAAGAAAAAAAAAACACACACTTATTAACAGATATAATAAAGAGAAGATTGTAACAATTCAAAAAACTGGACCAAAAACAAAGGATCAAGAATCACAATGGCATTAGACCACTATGCAGGAACAATGGAAGCTAAAGACTGTGCAGCCATGTCTTAAAAACTCTGAGGAGGGATGACTTAGAATCTAGAATTCTATAGCCTGCCTACCAATAATGCAGTGTGAGGAGAGAATAAAGACATTTTCAGATGTATTAAATCTCAATATTTTATCTCCATGAACTCTCCCCAGCCCCAGGAAATTATGAAAAATAAATTCTGTCAAAATTAGAGACTAAACTATAACAAGAGAAAAACACGGAACCCAGGAAACAAGAGAGAAGCAAAAGGAAGTCCCAGTACAACATTTGTGCAGTGGGCAGAGAAAGCAATGCATTTAGACTGGACTTGCTCCAGGAGAAATGTCTCCAAGAAAGAAGAAAAAGAAAAATTGAGCTGCTAAGTTATCTGACAGTTTTGTCATGTGAAGGACATTTACAAAGCTGCTGGAAGACAGACTCACTGGCCAGCTATTCAAAGAAAACAATTTCCAGTTTTTAAAGAACGAGGTAATTATAAACTCTAAGAAAAATGAGGCCAGGTGTGGTGGCTCATGCCTGTAATCCCAACACTTTGGGAGGCCAAGGCAGGCAGATCACCTGAGGTCAGGAGTTTGAGACCAGCCTGGCCAACATGGTGAAACCCTGTCTTTACTAAAAATACAAAAATTAGCCAGGCATGGGGGTGCAAAACTGTAATCCCAGTTACTCAGGAGCCTGAAGCAGGAGAATCACTTGAACCCTGGGGGTGGAGGTTGGCACCACTGCACTCCAGCCTGGGTGACAGAGCGAGACTATGTCTTGACCAAAAAAAAAACAAAAAAGAAAGAAAAATGAGAATGTATACAAAAAGGTCACGTAATCATAAAATACTCCTTGTTTATATAAGTATGTGTCGAATATGGATTCAACCAAAATTTGTGATATAATTCTATTGGGAGCATGAGAGGTACAAAGGAACTAAAGTCCATCTGCCATACGAGGAAGTCTACACATGAGAACTAAAACTGGCAAACCAAGGTAAAGCAGAATATTCAGATGATTTAAAAGTATAAAGTAAATAAAAGAAAAAAATAGCTGGCCGAGGCAGGCGGATCACGAGGTCAGGAGACTGAGACCATCTTGGCTAACACGGTGAAACCCCGTCTCCACTAAAAATACAAAAAATTAGCTGGGTGTGGTGGCGGGCGCCTGTAGTCCCAGCTACTCAGGAGGCTGAGGCAGGAGAATGGCATGAACCCGGGAGGCGGAGGTTGCAGTGAGCTGAGATTGCACCACTGCACTCCAGCCTCGGTGACAGAGTGAGACTCTGTCTCAAAAAAAAAAAAAAAAAAAAAAAGAAAAGAAAAAAATAGCTAAAAATCATTAGATCCAATGGCTGCTAATAAAATGGGAACAGAAAAGAAATGACTGCTGTTTAACCTGGTTTGACTTCCTAAACTACATACATACATGTAGTATTTGGATAAAAATAAGATTTAAAAAAAAAGACCAAAGGCAACCGGGGAGAAAGGAAAAACGCAGCTGTTAAACAGAGTCAGCTGAAGTGTTCTCATGGAACTGAAAGAAACAGATCTTGGACAGGTACAAAAGTGTTCTTTTTAGGCAAATGAGAATATATATTATCAAAGGCTAAAAGGAAGAATATTGAGAGGACAGATACAGAGACATGTTTCCATGAAGTATACTGTAGGGTTACTAGTTAGGAGGAGGGGCAAGTGTTTGATGAGAAGGAAGAGAAAAAAATAAAACAAATCCAGGTTTAGATAAGAACATTTTCTCCCACACTCAGTTACCTTATTTTGGAGCAATGAAATCAATTTGCAAACTTCCGCCAGTGCAAATTGTTTCACAAACTATTTTCTATGCTTCAAAATCACATAGAAGTTTCTTAAACTGTTTTTTCAATTTTACCACATGGTTCTGTAACTACCTAAAGGATTATTTAAAAAACAAGTAATCTAGAATTGAATATAATTTCTTTAAAAAACATATTGACTAAAACATCAAGCACTTATCCTGTTCCTCTCAAAAAACAAACAACAGGATTTCAAATTTGATCATTTTTTCGTGATAGATTTGTTTTAAAAAATACTCTGAACTTAGTATCTTGCTTACCTGCTCAAACTGCTTCATGGCAAACATGACTTCAGAAAAACTGAAAATTAAATGTTTTTCAAATCTGCTCTCAAATATCTGTGACCAAGGTAAAAAATATTAATGTAAGCACACAGAGAGTACTTCCCCATCCCCCCAGCAAGCAGCTATAGAAGGGAACGGCAGGCACACTTCACTCAGTGCTCTGTCCAATCGCCCAGCCTTCTCCAAAGGCGCTTCCACAGATGCAAAGGGCTTCTGCTGATTACACAGGGCTCTGCCTAAAGGCTGCTCAACTCTTACCCAGCTACAGTGAGTTATGAAAGGGCAAACAGCATGATTGTATATCTTCCCTCAAAGTGTACTGCAGCGCTCCATTAAGCTAGAAAGAACTTCACCAACCTTTCTATTTTCAATCCCACTTCCAAATTCACTAAAACGCAAATCTCATCAAATCATATCCCTGCTTGGAATTTTTTCAGGGTCCTCCACTAATGCAGGATAAAACCCAACCTAACTTTTCAAAGCCAAGCCAGAGCTTTGCTGATATCATGTCATATCATGTGTCCATGTGCCCAGACTGCAAACATTTATGAACACATGTCTTTCCTGTTCCCTCTCCTAGTATTTGTAACCCCGCTTCTGACTGGCAGACTGCTTTTCAACCTTCAAGGACTATCCCAAACACAAGTCCTTTGAGAAGCTTTCTCTGTTGCTCAACCCCAGGCAGAAGTAATAGTTAAAATTCAATATATCTCTAATAGACACATTGGCTAGACTATAACTACTCAGTTCCAGGCTCCATTTCTCCAACAACTATCAAAACCTACAGGCATCACTGTTCATCCTGGATTACCCAGCTCATACCCAGCACACGGTAAGCTCTACATATTTGCAGAATATGTATAGATTTAGCTTTTGCCACATTTTACTTATTTACATTACTGCATACAATTCCCATCTCCTTAACAAGATTATAAATTCCGTGAGGGCAGAGCCTTTGTCACACTTCACTTGCATCCCTCAGAAGGTTTACTCAATGCTAAATATATTATTAACTGCTCAATTAATATGTGTTGAAGTAAATTACTTTTTCTATGGTTTCTTTGATGAGGGTCTCCGGCAAGGAAACATTTTCAGCCAGGATCAAAGCAGAAATTACATCCAAGAGGGTCTTGCAGCAAGATGTGGAGAGACTGGCTACTTGCAGTGTTTGAGATAACACCTGCAAAAAGATAAAACAATGTATACTCAGTAATCAGCTTTTAAAAAACAGACTCTTGAGAATATTAAGTTGGGAACTCACCTTACAGATATCAGCAGGCGTGGTTATCTTTGTTCCACTTCCATGTTTTACAAGTATAAGATATGTTTCCAACAACCTTTTAATCTGTTCAGAACTTTCACAACAGTTAGTTTTTGTTACTTTTGTATGTAGATCCAAGAGTGATTCCTGCAAACAAAGAATTTAACAGAGAGAGTAACTATAAAGTATCAAACTCAACTGTTAATACAATAATAAAAACTGTGTGACAGTTCAACTTTTCCCATTCTTTTGCTTTGGAAGAAAAAGCCACATTGACCAGGAGTCACTAATGGTAACAGCTAACATTGACTAAGTGCCCTGTTCTAAGTGTTTATATATATATTTATTTATTTTGAGATGGAGTTTCCCTCCTGTTGCCCAGACTGGAGTGCAATGGCGCAATTTTGGCTCACCGCAACCTCTGCCTCCCAGGTTCAAGCGATTCTCCTGCCTCAGCCTCCCAAGTAGCTGGGACTACAGGCATGTGCCATTTTGTAGTTTTAGCAGAGACAGGATTTCTCCATGTTGGTCAGGCTGGTCTCAAACTCCCGACCTCAGGTGATCCACCCACCTTGGCCTCCCAAAGTGCTGGGATTACAGGCTTGAGCCACTGTGCCCGGCCCATTCTAAGTTCTTTACAAGTATTCACTCGTCATCCTCACAGCAACCCCGAGGGAGAGAATATTATTACCCCCATTTATTAGATGAAGAGACTGGGGAATCGAGATTTCAAATAATTTTCCCAGGTCACACTAGCAGTAAGTGGAAGGGTCAAGATTCAAATAGGCAGTCTGGCTCCAGAGTCTTCTACTGCATTTCAAGATACCGTATCAAATAAAAAATAGCACGAGGGCAGAGGGAAGGAAAATTTTAGTATGTGTAGAGAAGTGTAAATAAAACAATTATAAAATATAACTTCTAGGAGTGCTTTGCAAAACTGAGAGCAGAAAGGGTAAATTCTTAGACTCCTTATCAAAAACCCATCCTTAAAGATTAGAACTCACTTGCAAACATTCAAAAAATGTACCAAAATGTTCCTTGGAGATGTAGGATACAGTGGATTTGACCATGTTTTTGAGTGTTTCTCCAATTAACATCCATGGTAGTTGAATTTCTGTTTCAGTGACAGGTCCTAGCTTTTGCAAAATTAGCTTCACTGCCTGTGGGAATACAAGTCATTAACATTAATATATAAACTCTTATTTTCAAGTATTGCTCTGTGAGTCACCATTGTAATTACATTAGCTAAAAATCAGGCCTGTAATAGTCAAGGATATGGCAATTTTGATGGTTAATAATGTGTCCCAAAAGGAACTTCTAAACTAGGATGGGAATTTTATCATTACAACTGTTCCCTCCCCACCTGCCTTTGCCCATTAATCAATTTATCTTACCCCCTAGCATCCAAAATAAAGAAGACATCAATGACTCTGTAAGTAATATCTCACTGTCCAAGGCCTACATTGGGTAAGCATTGTTACTGAACACCCAACACTCCCCATCCAGGGCTTTCTATCTATTCTAGGTTGTCCTCCCTCTACATCATTTGCCTCATTCTTTTCTACTTTCTGTTTCATCCATCCACATAGATTCTAAGAACCCCTCCCCGTTGTGTACCTGGCCTGTACAGGAGTGAAACATATTTCTAACTCCTTTGCACATTTCAAAGAGCAACTGTCCAACACCTTCGACTTTTTCTGGATGTTTATCAAGATCAAGAAACATTAAATTGAAAAGTGCATTTTTATCAGAGACCTAAAATGTAAAGTAGAAATGGAAAATTATATTCACAAACATAAACATATCCAAATGAAGAACTCTCATTTGCTATTCTACATATTCTTATTTAAATATACTTAGGAAAAAATTGTCAAAGGAACAGACATTTGTAATGATTTCAAACTACTCTAACAGTGTATTCTCACTTGGAATGTCACACGAAAGAGTGAATTCATTGGTATTATGGGAAGATATGTACTACAAAAAACTACAGAAGTCAACATTCTATCTTTTAAAATAAATAAATTTGTATTTTGTATTGTATACAGTAAAATATTTGCATTTTATGAAATAAAATAAATTTAATATTAATGTTTTTATTACAAAAACCCTCTAAAATTTACTATGAACATTTTATACAAACACAAATGACACCATGCTACCAGTTACTTCCAGGAAACTATTAGAAAAGTTCTTATTAATGTCACAGTTCATGTATTTACTGACTTGAATTAGACAGCACTTTTGACATATACACACTGAAAGCTATCACAAACCTAAATAACAATAGTGACCCAAATTAGATCACATCAATTTGTGAGCAACAAATAAGTCTTACTGTGAGATAAATTCAAAATAGTAACAGATTTCTGTTAAGTAATATACAGATACATAGATAAAATTAGCCCATAGTAACCACATTTTTAAAAGATATCTACTTCCATTCATCAGATTATTATTACTATTATTAATGCGTGTGTGTGTGTGTGTCTGTATGTGTGAGAGAGAGATATAGAATCTTGCTCTGTCGCCCAGGCTGGAGTGCAACGGTGTGATCTTGGTCACTGCAACTTCCACCTCCTGGGCTCAAGCAATTCCTATGTCTCAGCCTCCCGAGTAGCTGGGAGTACAGGTGTACGCCACCATGACCAGCTAATTTTTGCATTTTTAGTAGAGATGGGGTTTTGCCATGTTGGTCAGGCTGATCTCGAACTCCTGACCTCAGGTGATCCATCCACCTCGGCCTCCCAAAGTGAGGCCTATTCATCAGATTCTTGATGATTAGCAACAAATATAAAATATCAGACTAACCTTTCTCATCAAAAAAGTAAAACTTTCAGCAGCAAAATTCCTTATATGTAGTTTCTTATGAGCCAGGAGTGTGCTGTACATGCTATACATGAAAAAAAAATAAGATATGTTTCATTAATCATATAATTTTTACAAATACATACTACATGTCAACAATATGGGCAACAATGTGCTAAGTATGCCAGGAATACACAGCAGGTATCAAACAAATTTAAAATCTCATTCATTTATGGAGACACCCACATGTTGAAAGGAAGACTTGACCACAGACATTAAGAGTCCTAGGACTGGCGGTACTGGTTTTACGAACAAGACTCCATGAAAAGGTGCAATGTGTAATGAATTCTGAATGAAAGAAGAATTAGGTGGGGACCACAGCCCATATTATTGGTATAAAAGCAAGAGTTAAGATGGGGCAGGCGGAAATGATCATGGTCATGACAAGGAGGCTGGTCCATCTAAAAAAGAAAATATGATACAGCAGAGGAGGGCAGCTGTGGATAAAGCTGGTCAGGTAGACAGGTCTAGCTTACATCTGTGTAAGCACTTACTCTGTGTTACTCCATTTAGTCAGCACAATAACTCTATGGGATGGGTACTATTATAATCCCCCCATTCTACAGATAACGAAAGTGAGGCAGAAAGCATAAGCAACTTGCTCAAGGTCAAGCAGCCATGCATCCATAACTAAATAATTACTTATATGTAATCACATTGTTAAATTTGGTCTCCCTAATGATAGAAGGGTATGGAATAGATCTCTCCAATTTTTGCCATAACCCCAATACCTAATAGTTCCTTGCTGACAGCAGGTATTAATAAATGTTGGCTGAATGAGAAATGACTATTTTCAGAAAGATTAATTTGGCAGCAATATACAGGATAAAATAAAGGAGGAAAGAGTCTGGTAATTCAATCAGAAAGCTGCTCAAGTCATACAAGCTTGGGCTACAGTCATGAAAGAGACTGGAAGGAGAGGGAAATGGCAAGGAATGAACTCAGTAGACATTTCAGAAGTCCCTGCAATGAAGCTGAAGACCTTACAGCAGTCCACAGGACCCTGGATGATCTGGCCCCTTACTACTGCTTCTCTGACATTGCTTAGCTACTCTCGCCCTTATACAGGCTGCTTGGCCACCCACAACTTCTTGCTGGGCATGTGCCCAAGATGTTCTCCCCCTGCTAAAATGTCAACTTTGTGAGAAGAGGGATTTTTATCTGTTTTACCTGTGACTGCATCTCAAGCGCCTGACATACAGACAGTGTCCAATAAATATTCACTGAGCAAATGCGTGAATGACAGAATCAAGAGGATGTGGACACCTCTGAAGACAACTGGGTCAATGATGTCTCTGATACGCCAAAACTCGGAGACAGGAAGAATGTTAGTATTAATGATAGAAAATGGGCAACCAAACAGGGCCTGGCATATGGTAGACACTCAACACCTATTTACTGAACACATGAATGAATGTACAGATAAGAAGTGTTGATTTAACAATAAGTGTTGAGTTCAGTTTCAGTAATATGCAAGTGAAAATAGCCAAGCTACTGAAGTTGTCATACCAAAAGCAAATAAATTTAGAACTGAAGAGCCTGACTTAGGAGACATAAAAGTGGCAGTTTTTATGACAGCTGAAATCACAAAACTAAATCAATTATTCCCCAAAGACCTTGTTGGTTGTTTAATGAGATAATATTGGTTTCTAACATATTTTACCAAAAGCTTCATAGGGAACTAGTAAAAGCTGGAAAAAGATTTCTTTCTCTTTCTTCATTCAAAGTTCCTAAAAGAGAAGGGTGGGCTGAGTGAAAGGGGTGGCATAAAACAAAGTCTATCGTCCCACACCATACGCACACCATTTATTGGGGGGTAAGAGGCTGATGACTGATATTAAACATTCCTGTGGCAATTACAGAACATGAAAACAACCAGAAGACCAGGTGGAAAATCCCACCAAACCCCAGACTTAAACAGATAGTAAGACAATCTTTGCTTACTTTAAACAAAAGGCTACTACGAAATTCATTCTCTTTCCTTGTCCATGTTTACTCACAAATACTGAGTGTCTCTTTCAGCTTAGGAAGTATTAGTGGCTGGGGAAATGTCAATGTTTAAAAAAGGTTCTTAGCCTGTCTTAAACCTCGCTTAAACCAGGTGTAGAGAGGACGGCAATACATTATAACCAAACAATTCTGGCAAAAGTTGTGTGACACAAGTGGTTAAAAAATGCCAAAAGGATAGAGAATATAAAGTTTTTTTAATACTTCTAGCGAAGGTGCCTGTTTGTGGAGGCTGTAGGGACCAAGTCAGGCCTTCACGGGTGGGTAAACTTTCAGTAGCTGGAGAGGAGAGATGGTTATGGCAACTCAGAATGGCAGACTAGATTGTGGACCACTTTGGCTGGAGCATCAACTTTGTACATGGAAACAATTAGGCACTGAGCTGGCAAAGTGGTTTGGAGTCAGAGAGAAGCCAGAGAAAAAGCAGGCAATTAAAAAACGTACTAGAGAGAGAAAGCGGTTACCTGTATATATTGGACATGTCCTTCACCATCAGTCTCCACAGGTACTTATAAAGATATGACAACGAGGTAAAAGCCCATTCTAACAACTCTGTGTTCTGAGTCTCCAGGATCGAGGTGATAGTCAAAAAAAACTCTGGAAAGTGTGGGTAGAAATCCATCTGCAGATCTCGTGCCAACTGTACAACCAAACTGGATTTAAAAAAAGAAGCAACTGATTATGTGGATTTTTTTTTAAAGGCTGCAAATCTACTTAACGATACTAGGTGGCCTACGATCATAGGATTAATTAAATAAAAATAATTCTAATTCAAGTCTGAAAATTTATAAAACTCTTTAAATCTTAAGACCTCAGCAAAGAAATCAGGCAAGAAGTTACATTCCATCACAAGTTGTAGCCAACTGTTCCTATAATGTCAAAGAAAAATGGGATTATTTTAGTACATAACAAAAGCAAAATTATACCCCAAGATTCTACTTTATGGTAATGCACCCATTCCTAACAGAAAAGGAACATCCTTCTTGTTTCTAAATTATGAACACCTGATCTGAGGCATTATGTAGCTTTGAAACACAATCTGAAAAATCAGACAAATAGAGTTATGAGCTTTCTCTCAAGATGCTACTTACTCCAAAAGGGGCTGATAGGCAAAACTGTTCTTAACTTGCAGGTGAGTCTTCAAACTCTGAACTATCTCGTTTTGATGATAGACCAACTGATTGAATGATTGGCATTTGTCAATAACTTCTTTGTAAAATTTTCCTGAGTGGGGGAAAAAAAAATACGTTCTTTTCTATCACACAACTATTCAGCTGTAAGGAACATATAAAGTGCAAACTATGGGTGAATAAAATAGAAACAAAACAGAAAATACCAAAGTGCTCCGTGAGGTTTAATTCTCTCCATTTCAGCAGACCCTCAAAAAAGTAGGTTTCAACCTCCTGTCAACATTAAAGCAGTCCATTAATCAAATAACTCTAAGAAAGCAATGATCAAGGTAAGTAGAATAATGATACATTAATATCTTAAGACAATGATACTGAAGAGTTTAAAAACTCCTTTTACTTTTTTAAAATGCCATTAAGTAACACACTTTAAAAAGCAATCAGAAGTTATCAATAGATCACTTATAAAATACTGTTTTGTTGATTTGGTTGCAGCAAATAATTTTCTGGAGCCTATATATATTGTCCACTAAGGGAAAAGTATTTTCTGTGTTTTTTTATAATTTTAGGCAAAGAATAAGGTGTTGCTTCTTTAGTTTCTTCATTCTGCTTTTAGAAATATGAATTACTACAACCTTATAAAGAAGTAATATGGCATTCCTATTAAAATTCAACAGAGTTATACTCTTTGACCCAGGTAGTTCTTGTAAAGTTTGCAAGCCTAAAAGTAAAAGATGTTTATTCAGCTTAACTACAGTGTGGGGAAACATTACACAGCCTAAAATATCTGACAATAGGAAAATGGTTGGAATATCCTGTGGTCTATATATACTAAGGTGTATTATGTGGTTACTAAAAAGAGTTATATCTCTATTGAACTAGAACCACACTGATGATATGCCCCCAAAACGATAAAAGCAAGTTATGCAGTGAGAGGGTATGGTAGGATTCAATTTTCCTTAAAAAACAAAAACAAAAACAAACCCTCTATAAATGTTTGCACATACGAACATGAGAGGAGAGTATGGAAGAATACTATGCTGAACTGTCAGTGTTGGCTTCCTTGGGAATTAGGGGTGGGAGGAGTGAGATAATGGGCTTCTCATAAGTTTATCACTGTTACTTAACTTGTTAACATGGTATCAATTACTTTGTACTTTGAAAGGTAAAGGCAATAAATTATCATACATGTATGACATGTATGTATACATGTAGGTGTGTATGTGTGTGTATAGAGGTATAAATAAATGCATACCTCCCAAAAAAATCATTCTACCAAAAAGATACATGCACTCGTATGTTCATCTCTGCACTATCCACAATAGCAGAGACATTGAATTGGTCCACGTATCCATCAATATCAATAGTACATTGTATAAAGAAAATATAGTACATATACACCATGGAATACTATATGCCATAAAAAAGAATGAAATCATGTCCTTTGCAGCAACGTGGATACAGCTAGAGTCCATAATACTAAGCAAATTAACATAGGAACAGAAAACCAAATACTGCATGTTCTCGCTTATAAGTGGGAGCTAAATATTGAGTACACATAGACATAAATATAAGAACAATGGACAGTGTGGATTTACTAGAGGGTGGAGTAAGTGGGGATGGGTTAAAAAAAACTACTTGTTGGGTACTATGCTCACTACCTGGGTGACAGGATCCATACTCCAAACCTCAGCATCACACAATATTCCCATGTAACAAACCTACACATGTACCCTCTGTTTCTAAAATCAAAGTTGAACTAAAAATAAAAATATGTGTTGAGAGAGAGAGAGAAACAAAGAGAGAATAAACACATAAGCACACATGCAAACAGCATGCCAAATCTACAATCTCAAAAAAAAAAAAAAATCCTTAAACTGTTCTTTGGAAATCTTTAAAATCAATAGTTAGGCAGAATAGATACTATGTAACCACAAAAATTGGAAACTAAAAATTTTTTTTAAAAAAGGCAGAAAAGAAAGAGAATCCCATTAAATTTTGTTTTAGGATGGGGATGATGGCTCATGCCTGTAATCCCAACACTGGGAGGCTGAGGCAGGAAGAGCATTTGGTTTTTTTTTTGTTTTTTTTTGTTTTGTTTTTTTTGAGACGGAGTCTCGCTCTGTCACCCAGGCTGGAGTGCAGTGGCCGGATCTCAGCTCACTGCAAGTTCCGCCTCCCGGGTTTACGCCATTCTCCTGCCTCAACCTCTCGAGTAGCTGGGACTACAGGCGCCCACCACATCGCCCGGCCAATTTTTTTTTGTATTTTTTAGTAGAGACGGGGTTTCACCGTGTTAGCCAGGATGGTCTCGATCTCCTGACCTCGTGATCCACCCGTCTCGGCCTCCCAAAGTGCTGGGATTACAGGCTTGAGCCACCGCGCCCAGCCAGGAAGAGCATTTGAGCCTAGGAGTTTGAGACTAGCCTAGGCAACAACACGAGATCCTATCTCTATTTTTCAAAAGTAAAACTAAAGAAATTTTTTGTTGTTGTTTTCATGTCCTTTAAGGCATTTTCATGTCCTTTAAGGCAGAAGGAAAATATGCAACACAGTTTAAAACTTAAATGCAGAACGCATTTCTAGCCTAGCACAGACCTGGCACATGTCAGCTATGAGTGAGAGACCATGTTGCGTCCTTTTGCAAGGTAACTCTGGAGCTCCTTTCACCAAGAGACGGAGTCTATTTCCTCACCCTTTGAATCTGGCCTGGCCTCCTGACTCGCTTTGACTAATAACATGCAATGAAAGTGACTCTGTGATGACCAAAGCAAAACTTTATGAGGCCTTGACAGCTTCTGCCTTCACTCTATTGAAAAGATTCTGCCACCATGAAAAGAAGCCTAGTCTAGCTTATCGGGGAATAGGAGGCCATGAAAAGAAAAGAACTAAGATCAACAAGCCACAGCCAACTGTCAGACAGGTGACAGAGGCCATTCTGGACTATCCAGTCCAGGATTCTAATTTCAGGCTGTCTTCTCTGCCTCAACACTCTACCTCTTGATATTTTCAACTTCTCCTGTGGCTTAAACTATTAACCATATTCTAAATGCCAAATCTGTAATTTCACCTCTGAAGTCACCTATACTCCACATCCATATATACAAACATCTTTTGGACACTATCATTTGGATGGCCACAGGTATTTCAAACTCAAATCCCAAATGGAACTAATTATCTTATCTTTACAACCTTGTGCTCCTTTACCTATAAATATATCTTGATGAGTAACATCTTCAACCATTCAGCCTTAACCTCATTGTCTTCCTTGCTGCAAACCCAGTAGGTCACAAGTCCTATCCATTCATTCTACTTCCTCAATATCTCTGGAATCCTTCTCTTCTATCTTGATTGCTGCTACCATAATCATTTCTTACTTAGATCACTGTCAAATCCTCACAACTGGACAACTGAGATTGGATCTCCAAGTTAAAGGCATGTTACACAGGACCTTAAAGGGCTAGCAGAGGAATCATGACATGATGCAGGACTGCAGTCCTGCTCTTTTCTCCACACTAAAGTCAGAGAGATTGAAAATTTAAACCTGATCATGTCATTCATTCCCCTGCTTACAGTCCTAGAACTCTAAGTTCCTACAGCTTCAGGATAAAACTCCAACTTAGCTTGACATATGAAGCCCTTTATGATCCTTGCCTACCTCTCCAGCTTTATCTCACCAGCTGCCTCCTTGCCCCATCCCAGTCACCATGAATACAAAAAAAAACACCCTATACACACCTATAACCACACTGGACTGCTTTGCAGTTTCTTGAATGTGACATGCATTCTCTAGCTTCTGTTCCTTTATATAGGCTTCTCCCTCAGCCTGGAAGAGCCTTTCCTGTCCTCTTTACCATGCTAAAACCTATATAAACAAGATTCAATTCAGGTGTCACCTCATCTAGATCACCTTTTTTGACACCCCTAAAGAATGTACGTTAGGTTCCCTTTACTATGAGTTCCCAAAGCACAATGTGCTCACCTAGACAACATCATTTAACACATTGAATTTACATGGTGGAGATAATGCATTCAAAGACACAGTGAGTGGAGTCTGATTATAGTAAAGTGAAGAACAGTAAGAACTGAGATTGGATCTCCAAGGCATAGGCATGTTACACAGGACCTTAAAAGGCTAGGAGGAATAATGACATAATGCAGAAAAAGACTTCTGCATAAAAGGATGACAAGGCCGGGCGCGGTGGCTCACACCTGTAATTCCAGCACTTTGGGAGGCCGAGGCGAGCAGATCGCGAGATCAGGAGATTGAGACCATCCTGGCCAACATGGTGAAACCCCGTCTCTAGTCTCTACTAAAACTGCAAAAATTAGCTGGGCGTGGTGGTGCGCACGTGTAATCCCAGCTACTCAGGAGGTTGAGGCAGAAGAATCGCTTGAACCTGTGAGGCGGAGATTGCAGTGAGCCAAGATCACGCCACTGCACTCCAACCTGGAGACAGAGCGAGACTCTGTCTCAAAAAAAAATAAAAAATAAAAATAAATAAATAAATAAAAATAAAATAAAGGGATGACAGAGTCAGAGTATGGTTAGAACTGGAAAATATTATGTAGTCTAGCCCCTTTATTTTTGTAAAGGAGAAAATTAAGTCCCGGGAAAAGGGCTTGCTCAAAATCACTTTAAAGTTACAGTTTCAGGAATATGGATCTGCAGCAGTGCTTGGAATGCATATGGGAAAGGGAGAGGCTAGAATCACAAAAGTCAGTTGAAAGTCAAGTCACTTGTCTCATAGAGCTTCACCCAATAGAACTTTCTGCAAAGATGAAAATGTTCCAATTCTATATTTATTCAATATGTTAGCAACTAGCCACATTTGAGCACTCACATTTTAAACTTACTTTAAATCCAATTTGTCATGTGTGGCTACTGTATGAAACAGCACAGGTCTAATGCATTTCATGCCCAAAAAGGAATACCTTGAAAAACAATTTACTTCTACTAACAGAAGAAACTAAAACACCATGAACACTTGGAAGATTGGCTAGTATCACATTCTCTTACCTCCTCATAGCTTGCAGTTCTATCAATCCGGTGAATAATATCAATATTCACATTCCCCAGTCGTTCAGCAAATGTAAGAAACTGGAAGGGAAAGTATATTTAAGATACATAATTATTTAATATTTATCAGATCTTTAATATCTATTTGAATGCTGCATGTAGGCATCTCTAATCACAAAGGATAAGTGGAAAAATAAACTGAAAAACATAGGGCCGTAAACAAACGTACTGCACCATTCAAAGATAATGAATACTTCTGTTTGCATAATTTCTCTCAGCTATGTCATTTCCAATAAAATTTCCATTGCTAGACTGATGAGCCTAGGTGGATGCTGGCAATTAGTCTCGCTAGATCTGTTAGGTTTCATACCCTCCCATAAGCATGGGGACCTAGCAAAGTCGCTGCAACAAAAGTGTTTTTAAACATATACAGACCTGTGATTGTATCCTAACGAAGACCTGGAAGCTATCTACCAAGGGGCCAACAGAGAAAGCGCTGTATAGTTGCCCTTAGCTGGGAATCACTCACTGCCAGCCAGCTCGCCCAATTCGGTCTTTAAAGACAAAAGACCAGGGGAGAATCGGTCCTAAGCAATCTCCTGGAATAGTGAATTTAATTCTGGACCACAAGAAATTCCCAGGACTGGCCAGACACCATAAAATATGGGTGAAACTTGCTGTCCAGACTTCTTTCCACCCCCAACCCATGTTTACTACATCCAGAGTCTCCCTCTTTCGCCGGAGCCTCCGGGCAAGTGACACACTCGGCCCAGAAGTCTGAGGCCCCTGGAGTCTAGCTCAGAGCCTGTCTCACGACTCAAGCAGCGGAGACCCGCGGCTCCCTGCCCAACCTCCCGCGCTCACCCGGTAGGTGTTCTCCGTCTTGTGGGAAACGGGCTTTGTCTTCATGGCTGCAGAGGGGCAGTGGCCCGCGACGGCCTCGGGAGGGTCGAAGGGATGCAACCGACAGCAAGGAGGGGAAAGAGGCTCACAGGCGGTACTCTCCGATTCCCAAATGCCCAGACTTTCTCACGTGCGACTTGAGCCCCTGGGCGCCGCCATGTTGGAGACAAGGAGGAGCCTGAGTGGGTCACGTGCACGGAAAAAAAGAACGGAGCAGGCGCAGCCTTTGGCAGGGGCCTACAGGAGGCGGGGCTGCGCACATAAGGGCGGGCGTTTGGGGGAGGTGTTCTTTTCACACCCATTGGTAAAGGTTTAGAAGATAAATGTATTTTCATTATAAAATAAAGCATACCTGTCATCATTATCAACTGTCCCATCATCATTACTGTCCCTCACTATGTACCCTGCACCGTGCAAAGATCCTTTTATCCATAATTTCACAGTAAAGCTTATTAGGGATGTTAATACAAAGCAGGCACTGCATCTATCTATATATCTATATCTATCTCTCTATATGTAGAGAGATGATAGATTTTTTTTTTTTTTTTTTTTTTTTTTTAGACGGAGTCTCACTCTGTCACCCAGGCTGGATGGAGTGCAGTGGCGCGATCTCGGCTCACTGCAATCTCCGCCTTCCTAGTTCAAGCAGTTCTCCTGCCTCAGCCTCTCAAGTAGCTGGGACTACAGGCGCACGCCGCCACGCCCGGCTAATTTTTCTGTACTTTAGTAGAGACGGGGTTTCACCTTTTTGCCCAGGCTAGTCGCGAACTCCTGAGCTCAGGCAATCCTCCCGCCTCAGCTTCCCAAAGTGCTGGGATTACGGGTGTGAGCCATCACTAACCGGCCGGTACTGTGTATGTTTTTAAGCCAATTTGACACAAGAGGAAACCAAGGTTGTGCAGCTGGTAACTGGTAGTCTTCACTCAGACTCTAAATTTTGGTATTCTTAACCACTATGCTGTAAATAAAATTGAAAAATAGAGAAGGAGTTTTAAAGAAAAATCTTTTAACTTCACACACAAGCACTGTTAATGTTTGGTGTTTTTCCCACGCCTTTAATGTCTACGCATAGCATATTGTTAAGCATAATTGTACAGTTATATATATATGTACAATTTTAAAAAATAATTTAAAAATATAATTATTTCCCCCATTTTACATTCATTCATTCATTCAACAACTATTTCTTCAGAGTCCGCTGTGGACCAGGTACTGTTCTGGGAGCCGAACAAGAAAGGCAATAATAGTATTAATAATTATTTGAAAGTATTCACAGCCTCCAATTCCTGAGCTAAAGTGAGCCTCCCACCTCAGCCTCCCAAGTAGTTAGGACTACAGGCATGTGCCACCACACCCCGCTCTTTTATTATCATTATTGTTATTTGTAGAGATGGGATCTTGCTACATTGCCCAGGCTGGTATCAAACTTCTGGACTCAAACAGTCCTGTTGCCTTGGCCTCCCAAAGTGCTGGGATTACAGGGGTGAGCCACTACACCCAGACTGGAAATACTTAGTCTGAGATGCTTACATTTTTGTCCAGGAGTGATGTTAAGTAGACAATTGGATACATTGTTGTACAGAGGTCACTGTAGCAGTCTGGGCTGCAGATGTGACTTAAATATACCTAAATACCTCAAGTGTGAGGCATTTGTGACTGGGAAAGAGAGCCAGTAAGGTAGAAACAGACTAGTTATGGCATAGAAGCAGAGCTAGTGTCCAACTATACTGCAAGTTTGAGGATAGAGAAGTGGTTCCTGGATCTGACAAGGTGAAGGTCACTGGTGACCTTGATAAGTACAGTCTAGTTGGAAGAAAGGAGCGAAATATGCATGGATTGAGGAGGTAATCAGAGTTGAGAAAGTGGACAGAACACTTTCAAACTGTTGTTGGCATTATAGCATCAACATTTTCTGTGTCACCACAGGATTGTTCTAAATATTTTAATGCCTCCATAGCATTTATAGATTTTTTTATAATAAAATATTGACGTGCCTAATGTTCCATTGGCTTTCAGTAGGCTAATAATTGGTCCTTTTTTTTTTTCTTTAAGCCTTTTATGGGTCACAGATCCCTCAGGGAAATCTAAGAAAGCTGTAGAACTTCTCCCAGAAAGAGGCAAAGAAGTTCATCCACACTAAAATGTGCACATTTCAGAGAGTTAGAACCCTGCAGTTAACTGAGGGTAGAAGCCCCCACTCTAAGCAATATTTTCCCAACCTGTTGCCAAAATCACCCCCACATCACTGTGCCATTTTCCTTCTCTGCAATTTATTTTTGGTAATGGAGTTAACTGGACAATAAGGAGTGAAGAGAAAAATCAAAGAAACTGAAAGAACTGACGCAAGTTATATTGACCATTTATTGTTTGCATTGTTCTTCATTACATGACCTTCATACATTGACTTGACTCTAACTGGCTTAACAATATGTCAATAGAACACGGTGGTTGAGAGCATAGAAGCTGGAACCAGGTTGTCTGGAGGTAATCCTGGTTCTGCCATTTATTAGTTGGGTCAATTACCCTTTCAGTGTGACATTTCCGTATATGTAAATGAAGCTAACAAAAGTACCTACCTCATGGGTGGTGGCTGTGCAGAGTAAATAAGGTAATGTATAAAAGATGCTTAGAATGTGCCAGGCACCATAATTGTGCAACCTCAGAAATTAGTTAACCTTTCTGAGACCCAATTTCCTCATCTATAAAGTAGAGATGATAATAATACTAATCTTTCAAGGTATTGTGTTGGTGCACAGAGTATGAAATAAACGTTTGCTAAGTGGATAATAAATGACCATTTATTCTCTACTACCTGGCTACCTGACACCTTATACTTTTTCAACTTTGTGTCACCATCAGCTCCCTTGAACGTCAGAGTTGTTTAATGAATGTCTGTTGAATTAACAAAGCTTATAATACTTACATTGACCCTGACAAATTTAAGAGTAATATAATTCCAGCATTGGATGTGAATTGTACCACGTGATTTTTGGTCTCTCTCAAAACTAAGTTTCTAAGCTTTAATGGAACATCCAAAGCATCCATGAAGAGCACAAGTGTTTCTTATAAACATTTCCTTGCCTCCAGCTTTTGTCCGCTGTCAAGGCCTTTGAATATCCCATACCATCCTTTATTTCCTTTTTCCATTAGGGCTCTGCCTGTCCTAACTACTCTAGACAGGAAATAACATACATAATTTTTTCATTCTTTTATTCTTAAGCTTTATAGGGAGCTCCTGGAAGTTTTGCTTTTTAATTTTTGTTTCCTTATTGCTTAGCATGCTGCAATTTCAAGCCAAGAAACTTCAAGAGCATGTGAGAGCCAGGCTCAGTGGCTCATGCCTGTAATCTCAGAGCTTTGGGAGGTCAAGGTGAGAAGATTGCTTGAACCCAGAAATTTGAGACCAGTCTTGGGCAACACGGCGAAACCCCATCTCTATAAAAAAATACAAAAATTAGCCAGGCATGGGGATATGCACCTGTAGACCCAACTACTCAGGAGGCTGAGGTGGGAGGATCACTTGATCCAGGAGGTCAAGACTCCAGTGCTGTGATCGTGTGACCGCACTCCAGCTTGGGTAACAGAGTGAGACCCTGTCTTGAAAGAAAAAAAGGAAAGAAGGAAGGAAGGAAGGAAGGAAGAGAGGGAGGGAGGGAGGGAGGGAAGGAGAGGGAGGGAAGGAAGGAAGGAAGGAAGGAAGGAAGGAAGGAAGGAAGGAAGGAAGGAAGGAAGAGAGGGAGGGAGGGAGGGAGGGAGGGAGGGAAGGAGAGGGAGGGAGAAAGAAAGAAGGGAAAGGAAAGGAAGGGAGGGGAGAGGAGGGAAAGGAAGGGAAGAAAGCACATGAAGAATTTACCCAGCCTAGACAAGAAAGTGGAATCCAGAGAAGGCTTCTTGGGGAGGTGACATCTAAGCTGAGACCTGGAAAATGAATAGGAATTAGCCAGGCAAGGAATGGACATGAATGGTGTTATATAGGTAGAGTGAGGAGTATACACATTTGTCTCAAAACGATTGAGACAAATTTGTTTACTTTTAGTTTCCAAGACAAAGCCACACCCTGTCAAATTAGCATTGGCCATGGGTATCATCTTTAGCACCCTTGGACTAATAATAGGAAAGAATAGGGACAAGATGAAACTCAGAGGTAGGAAGAGCCTCGGTTTTCTCATCTGTAAAGTGAGATAGACATATGAGAAAGTCAACAGTCATATGAGACAGTTGAAAGATTAATTAACACATCGAATCGCTTCTTGGCCTTTTGGCTAAGATCAAGTGTAGTAATTAACACATTGTATGTGGTGATCTGGAAGGGGGGCAAGTTGACCTGGTGGCATGGTCTTGTTTAGAAAGGAGTTCAAGGAGTGCTATGCATCAAGGCAGAGAGGATTTGACTCAGAACAAGGGACCAAGGACGTGAATGTAAAAAAAAGAAAGAGAAGAGAAAGTTTTAGTAATTCTTTGTTGTTTTTTTCTTAAATAGAGACAGGGGTCTCACTACATTGCCCAGGCTGGTCTTGAACTCCTGAGCTCAAGCAATCCTCCTGCCCAGTTGAGTAGTTCTTGACTGTGGTACTAAGGAAAGCTGATCCACCTATCTCTTCTTGAGAAAAGTGTGTATTGTCCACAATGTGTGTAAATCAGGAGGCAGTGAGAGCATGGAGTTTGGATTCAGAACAACTGGGTCCCAGTTCTAGCGTTTTTCATGTATTAGCCAGTAACTGGGCAAGTGACTTAACCTTGCAGCCTCAGTTTCCTCATCTTTAAATCAGGCATAATAACTAGTTCTGCCTTTTCCCTTAATGGTTGGTAAGAAGACTATTTCATATAAAGCAGGCAAAGTCCCCTGTAACCAGTACAGAGGAGTTACAGAAACACTAAGTATCATTATTGTTTCTCTTTGCATTGTGTGCTCACGTTCAGCCCTGAGACCACTGAGCTTCTATTCTGCTTTCCTTATTTTGAAGCTCAGGCATTAGAAACATTAGACCAGAAATTGCAGATTTGTGGGGCCTATAAGCTCAGATAGCCCACAGATAAGTTTTGTTTACCAAACTTCTTCTTCTTCCTTTTTTTTTTTTAAAAGACAGTGTCTTGCTCTGTTGTCCAGGCTGGAGTACAGTGGCATGATCATCGCTTACTGCCAACCTCAAGCTCCTTGGCTCAAGCAATCCTCCTGCCCC